GCGATTGTATTTTCCGTGTTGCGATAGTCAAATGCATGCCTAATAGTGATAACAACTGAATAACAAGAGTTGGTTAAGTCAAAATGGTTGGCCTGAGTCATTAATTCAACTGAAAATGTTAAAAGTTCACACATAAAATCCACATAATACAACGTTTGCATTTAAAAATCACCTAAGTTAACAGTCTCAAAAGGTGAAGCCAATCGTGATTGGGATTTTAAAGATGATTGCCTTTTGCTTGACACCATATGAGCTTTGGATTTTGATGAGGATCCATATTTTGGTAGAGGAAAAGATGATTTTGATGGCACTGGTGATCCACATGTCAACCTTGTATGACCACTTTCCTTGCACCGACTACATGTCGATCTCTTCTTCTCTTCACCCTTAGACGGTATACGATCGTGACTTTTTGGTCGGCCAGGTAGCCTTCTGTCCATGGCTGGTGGCAAAACTGTTTGTAAGTCATCTGGTATGTCCCACTCAGAAGGATGTGGAATAGGGTAGACAATCTCGGCATAAGTCTGTCGATAAACTTCTGTAGTGTAGCAATCCATAGCGTATGCGCTTGAATCATCTTGGTTTAAATGAAGAGCAACTTTTATAACATGGCCACACGGATAACCAGATGTTTGCCATTTCATACAACTACACGTCTTTGCATTTAGATCGACTAGCCCATTTAAGTTATTATCCAGTACTTGAAACAAAGTGTTTGAACATGGTTCAACTCTCCATAACGTTGACTTCACAACACGTTTCGTTATCTTTTTTTCAGTCCATGGTGTAACACGATGTTCCAATGTTCCTGTAAATTTAAATAAACAATACTTAGTAAAATATATAAATATGATAAGTTACGAATTCAAAGAAATAATACCTGCATGGTTTCTTTTCTTGTAGTACCACTGTTGAATAGAGGCTCGAAAAAACTCCATTAACATAGTAATGGGTAATTTCCGGGAATGACGACTTAGAGCGTTGATTGATTCTGCACTATTAGACGTCATGAAACCATATCTTGCTCCAAGTTGATGTACTCTTGACCATCTTTCAAACCCGACATCTTCTAGTGTTTGAGCACACTGAGGCAAAACACGTCTTAAACAATTTATATGCTTATTGAAATCCACTTCCCGATAAGCTTTTACAGCCTTCCAGTATGTCCATTTGTGCTTTTTATACCAGCAGACCTTGATTTTAGATTTCTATACAAATGAACACCACAAAGTCCATGAAAAGCATCTGGGAAACACCTTCTAACAGCGTTGTCAATTGAGTTTGCCCTATCGGATATGATTGTCAGATTGCTAATAGGACCTATGCAATCCCTAAGATGCCCCATAAACCATGTCCATGAATCAGAGGTTTCAGATTTGCCAACCCCGTAAGCTATTGGCAATATCCCATTGTTAGCATCCATGGCTACTGCTAATAAGTTTACTCCAAGGTATCGACCTTTCAAATGTGCTCCGTCAACTATAATAACTGGGCGCATGCAAGTAATAAACGAACGAATCTACAAAATAATATACACAAGAAATATAATCATTTAAATGTGAAATGCATGTAACTAACAAAATGAGTCAACAAAATTATATTGATTTACTAACCGTAGCACCAATGGCGATAAACAGCAACTCAAAGCGTCCATCTCTATCTGTTTTGATATGAGTTACCGACCCAGGATTTTTCAGCTTTAAATTGTGACAATAAGCCGGCAGTTGGGCAAACGATGCTTCTGGCGACCCCCTCAACAATTCCAAGGCATAACATTTGGCTCTCCAAGCTTGAGAATATGATATACTAATCTTGAACCGAGCATTCATGTCAGTCATAATTTCATGTCCCCGATATACCCTGCCATTTAAAAACATTAACTCAGCCAGAAAACCACCCAACACCTTTTTGTTTGCCTGTCTATGGTGAGGAAAAACTTGGGTTCTTGAACATGTATGTTTATCAATAAAAGTCCTAACTTGAAACATTTTGCAATATTTTATTCTCTTTGCAATCATACGCCACGTATAGTTTTTGTCAATCATACACCTTGTTTCGAAACGATCTTTGCTTGATTTGTTAACTTTTAGTTGATAGCCATCTTCCACACATTTCGTATATAAAGCTATCTTCAAGTCTTCCTTTGTATCAAAACAATCATCTTTCTTGATACGAATAACTTTTGTGTAACAATCAACTGCTTTCTTTATCAACTCTTCTTCCGGTATCTGAAGTAATTCTGGCATATTCCAGTTATACGCCCGTGGCATTTTCTTTTCTTCGGGGACTTTTTCTTCTTCTTTTTCTTCTTCAGGATTATATGAATTACAAAATGGATGTTCAACATGTTCATTCACAGTCGTAACTTCCTCCTCATTATCATCAACATTACATTCTTCGGCAACGGCTGTTTCATCATCAAAATTCGGGTATTGACCAATATCAATATCATTACACGCATGGTCTGTTTCTTCTTCTGAAACATCATCAAAATCCGTGTATTGACCAATATCAAAGTCCGGATATTGACCAAGACCAAATTTCGAATACTGACTAGTACTCACAATTTTTTCTGTTGGCTCATCATCGTCTAACTGGTCAATACGAAAACCGGAATTTGGTGCTGAAAGTTGATTGGGATTTGGATTAGAGAAAGGTTGTGGGTTTTGAGAAAAACTTAGTTGATTACTACCCGCTACTGACCCAACAATACTACTTCTAGGTTCAACAACATACAATGTAACATCATCTTGTGAAACACTAATGTAAGCAATGAATCGTTCAACATCTTCATTGTCGGTTAACAAATAAACTTTACCATTTCTCTGATAAGATAGCCTAAATCCACTTAGGGGCTCTAAATTCAATTTATTTGAAACACGTAGCATTAGAGTTTCATAAGTTAACTTTTGTAAAGACAATTTTAGTTGAAGATTCATGGGTAAAGGCATATATTGTAAAACACCATGAACATTATCCCATGACCCTCCAAAACACAAATCTATCCAAACATGATCAACATTAGATGATTTCATGGTTGTAAATTAATTTACTAAACAGACGAGCTGCGAAACTAAAACCTGTTGCCGGATTGGGAAGGATGTCGTTGGATATAGGAACGGATGTCGCCGGAGAGAGTGATAGATGGAGATGGAATGAGTTGCGATTTAGGGATTTAGTTTATGATTTCAGTGTTATATACCCAAAATTTAAGTGTTGTGATTTACAGATTCTCGTTGCGATTTACGGATTATCGTTGCGATTTACAGATTCTCGTTGCGATTTACGGATTATCGTTGCGATTTACGGATACGCGTTGCGATTTACGGATTATCGTTGCGATTTACGGATACGCATTGCGATTTACGGATACGCATTGCGATTTACGGATACGCGTTGCGATTTACGGATACACGTTGCAGTTTACGGATACGCGTTGCGATTTACGGATACGCGTTGCGATATACGGATACGCATTGCGATTTACCCATACGCGTTGCGATTTACGGATACACGTTGCGATTTACGGATACGCGTTGCGATTTATGTGTTCGCGTTGCGATTTTCATATTCGCGTTGCGATTATGGAAAATCGCAATGCGAATTTGTACTATCGCATCGCGATTTTCAAGAATCGCGTTGCGATTTTGGAAACTGATTTGCGATTCTGGGGATCGCGTTGCGATTTTTATTTCGCGTTGCGATTTTGTTGGTCATTTTGGCAAATCCAAAAAAAGTTGGTTAAAATCGTATATTATAACTTTTTTTTGGTCACTGAGGCGATTCTCTCTAATATAAAATGTGCAATGATTAAACAACAAATCTCAAGTTTGATTTTGGTTTGAAGAGGAACCTTCAATGATGTAATGCAAGTGGTACTACAAATTTACAAAAAACTTTTCTTAATTAATTCCGTGTGTTAAAATGGAGAAATTATTATATAAATCCGGCTCACCACGTTTATTTGTAGTCTCAATATGTAAAATTCATCTATATTAAAATAACTTTCAAATAACCATCCGCTCCTTATTTACATGTATGAAAGAGGCGAAAATTTATCTTAGAAAAAATTGAGATGAATGACTTTTATTGACTGAAACTACGAATGACGTGATGAACTGAATCCATTTAATAATTTTTAGTCAAAATGGTATTACAACAAACCGAAGGTAACAGATAAAAACCAAAACAAGATAATTAGAATGTAACAGTTGTCTACTTTGCAAAGGTGAAAACAAAACAATGTTCTTGTTTCAAAACCAAAACAGTTGTCACGTTAGATATATAATTAATTCATTGTTTTAATATATATTTTTAATATAATCATGGTTTTATTAATGAGTATAGATACAAACTAAGAATATATATTACATAAAGAGTGCGAAAATACAAAATTTTAAGAATACTAAATTAGATATCAATAGAAAATATAAGAAAAATATTTAATTTTACGAGGATTTGAAATTTTAAGAATGCAGTTGCAATCTAACACTCTTTTGATCTATCCTTATTTATATATGAAACTTATCTAATAAAAATCGTAAAAAATTTAAATATATACAATATTACCTGGTGAAATTGCTCGAATAACATGATGAAAAAAACTATCCATATAAAGTGCATTAAAAATTGTTTTTATAACTAAAATGATTGTTAGAACTACATAACGATTTTTAGAAAATATATAGACTACACGACGACTTTTAGATGCTGCTAAATTCCTAAAAGTTAACATGCATGTAAGCAGTATCGAGAAGTTATCATATATTTTATATATTTTTTTAATAATTATCGTGTAATCTTAACGACTTTTCAAATGATTGTAATAATCATTCTAATTAAAAAATATTTTTAATAACATTAAATGAATAAATTTTTTTTGGCCACAATATTCAAATATTTTTATCACATTACCGCCTAACAACGTAGCCAAGCCAACAACACCCACGGGGACAACCAAAAAGGCAAAAACCCATTTTCGCAGTGGATTTTGTTTCGTCAGAAAAATAAAATATATAAAAAAAACTTAATTCTTTTTTCCTTTTTCTTCTTTTTCAGAGCCAGAAGAGAACGGTGGATTCGGTGACGGTGGAAATACGGGGCCATTACCTCGTCAGATCCGTCTATATGGGTCCCAGTCTTTTTACTCTTTTATAAACCCTGCTTCTATTTGTAAGCAACTATCGACAAAACCACATAGAAACACAAAAATCTTTTTCATTGACTCTGTCTTTTTAAAAAGACAAGAGGAGAAGAAAAAGGTTGGGTTTTAGTCAGACAGAAACCAACTGCTGTTCTTTTCATTGTTGGATTCATTGTAAGTTTGTTTTTCTTTTTGGGTGCATTCATAAAAATCTTCACGTTTTGTTTAGTATGTTCTTGATAACGAGCCTTTATCAAATCTGTGTTTTAATGTTAATAGTAAACAGCTGACCCCTTTGCTTCAATTCTACACTGTGAGGGAAGAAAAAGAAAAGTTTTCAACTTTGCCATAAAAAATACCTTCTTTTCTATGTTTATGGCTGATTTTGAATTAAGATATAATACCCTCTTTTTTTCTTGCTTTTCAGTGTTTTAAAGTTGAGTTTGTGTTGAGTGATTTGGCTACATAGATCTGAATTACATTTGAAATGTTATTTTAGTGTACTAAACTGAGAAATGAGTCTTTAAATCTAAACTTATTTGTATATTGATTACCTTCTTTAGATCTGTCACGCTCTAGAGTTCAAGCTTTACTTATTATTGCCTTTATGTTTCTTCCTTTTTTTAAATTTTTTTAGAAGTTGGGTCCTCTTTGTTCTTTATTTATTGTGTATGCTGGAATTTTGCTTTGAATATTGTGCTTTTAATGTTTAGATTTTCCAGTCGTGGGGTATTTTTACTTTAATTTCTTAGTGTGCCTTTGAAATTGTATGCTTTATTTCCTGCAATTGTTCTTCCATGTTTGTTTGTTTGAGTGGCACTGATGAATATGGCAATCAATTTTGGATAATTGTGTGTTACATGCCTTTTTATGGTGTACTTTTCTTTATTGCTATTGATTGATTTTGTTTCTTTGATCTCAGAGTGGCTTGTCGTATTCTGTTCGCCTTTATGGGATCGTTTTAACGATCGGAAGTATTGTAAATATGGATCCCCATGAAGATAGTGCCAGGTTGGAGTCGTTACGAGCAACAACGTCTAGAAATATGTCATCGTTGTCGTCAGCATTTTTTTCAGCGAATCAATCCCCGTTCTTCTCTCCAAGATCTTCGTGTCAATTGTCCGAATCGACAAGGTCTGATGCTCAATGTGATGGTATTAATTTAAGTGCTGATCCACCAAGTTCTAGTTCTGGCATTCAGGTTTCAGAATGCCTTCCAAATGTTGGTTTTCCTGACTTCCGGAAATTTGATAACGTGTCATCTACAACTCCCGTCTCTAATGGAAGCCGGTCTAGTTATGATCATATGGGCGACAACGGTTATTTTGGCCCTACAAAGAAGCATCGAAAGCATATGAGAAGCCATGACGTGTCATTTTCCGCTCTTCCAGTATCGTTATCCTCTGACCAATGCAGAAGCTATGATGTATACATAGGTTTGCATGGTGTCAAACCTTCCTTACTGAGGTTTGCAAATTGGTTCCGTGCTGAGTTGGAAGTTCAAGGGATAAGTTGCTTTGTATCTGACAGAGCTCAATTCCGAAGTTCTCGTAAGCATGAACTCATCGAGAGGGCAATGATTGTTTCTTCCTTTGGGGTTGTAATTCTAACAAGGAAGTCTCTAAGTAATCCATATACTATTGAGGAGCTTAGGTTTTTTTCGAGCAAGAAAAATCTGGTCCCAATCTACTTTGATTTGAAGCCTGATGCCTGTCTTGTCCGAGATATAGTCGAGAAGAGGGGAGAGCTGTGGGAAAAGCATGGTGGTGAATTATGGGTTTTATACGGAGGATTGGAGAAAGAGTGGAAGGAAGCTGTCAAAGGCCTCTTTCGAGTGGATGAATGGAAGCTAGAAGCGCAGGATGGTAACTGGAGAGACTGCATATTACGAGCTGTTGCAGTTTTGGCAATGAAGTTAGGAAGACGAAGCGTTGTAGAGCGATTAACAAAGTGGAGAGAGAAGGTTGACAAAGAGGAATTCCCGTTTCCTCGAAATGAAAACTTTATTGGCCGGAAGAAAGAATTGTCGGAGCTAGAATTTATACTTTTTGGAGATATTACTGGAGAATCCAAAAGGGACTATTTTGAGCTCAAGGCTAGATCAAAGAGAAAGAATTTGACTGTTGGGTGGAGTAAGAGTGGTTCGGTGAAGGAAAGACGCAGGGAACAGCATCGGGAGAGTGGCAGCCGGAAGGGTAAGGAACCTGTCATTTGGAAGGAGTCTGAAATGGAGATTGAGATGCAAAGTACCGAAAAACAACACTATCAAAGACCGAAAGGTGGTGGACGGAGTTCACGGAGAAAGAGATCAACAAAAATTGTATACGGAAAGGGCATTGCCTGCGTAACTGGTGATTCAGGAATAGGGAAGACAGAGCTTCTTCTGGAATTTGCATACAGATTTCACCAGAGGTATAAGATGGTTCTATGGATAGGAGGGGAAAGCCGGTGTATTAGGCAGAACTATTTAAACCTATGGTCATTTTTAGAGGTTGATGTTGGGGTTGAAAATTTCATAGATAAAAACAGGATAAACAGTTTTGAAGAGCAAGAAGAGGCTGCCATTTCTAGAGTCAGGAAAGAGCTAATGAGAAACTTGCCTTTTCTGGTGGTGATCGATAATTTAGAGAGTGAAAAGGATTGGTGGGATCACAAGCTAGTAATGGATCTTCTTCCTCGTTTTGGTGGAGAGACCCACATTTTGATATCCACTCGCCTTCCGCGTGTGATGAACTTAGAACCGTTAAAACTCTCATTCTTGTCTGGTGTAGAGGCAATGTCATTGATGCAGGGAAGTATTAAAGACTACCCTAGCGCAGAGATTGATGTGCTTAGGATCATCGAGGAGAAAGTTGGAAGGCTAACATTGGCCCTTGCCATTGTCGGTGCTATCTTATCTGAGCTACCCATAAACCCAAGCAGGCTACTGGATACCATCAACAGGATGCCCTCGAAAGACACTTCATGGAGCGGTAGGGAAGCTCATTTGTTGAGGAAAAACACCTTCCTCCTGCAACTCTTTGAGGTGTGTTTTTCAATATTTGATCATGCAGATGGACCAAGGAGCTTAGCTTATAGAATGGTCCTAGTGAGTGGTTGGTTTGCACCTGCTGCCATTCCGGTTTCCCTTTTAGCCCTAGCCGCTCACAAGGTACCTGAGAAACATAAAGGAACCCGCTTTTGGAGAAAATTATTGCGTTTCTTGACTTGTGGTTTTTCTTCATCATACTCCAAGAGATCCGAAGCAGAAGCATCGTCAATGTTGTTGAGGTTCAATATTGCAAGAACTAGTACCAAGGAAGGTTACTTGCATTTCAATGAGCTAATCAGAGTTTACGCTCGGAAGAGAGGAGTTACCGGTGTTGCACAAGCCATGGTTCAAGCTGTTGTTAGACATGGATCATTATCCCTCCACTCGGAACATATGTGGGCGGCATGTTTCTTACTATTTGGATTCTGTAATAATCCTAAAGTTGTTGAGCTCAGGGTGTCGGAACTGTTACACCTTGTCAAACAGGTGATTTTGCCTCTTGCAATTCGGACATTCATTTCATTCTCTAGGTGCAGTGCTGCTGTCGAACTCCTCCGCGTATGCACCGATGCTTTGGAGGCAGCAGACCAGGCATTCCTTACCCCAGTTGAGAAATGGTTGGACAAGTCACTTTGTTGGAGGCCCATCCAAACTAATGCTCAATTGAATCCATATCTCTGGCAGGAGTTAGCACTGTTGAGAGCTACTGTGCTGGAAACTAGGGCCAAGTTAATGCTAAGAGGGGGGCAATTTGACATCGGAGATGACCTCATCCGAAAAGCTATTTTTATTAGAACTTCAATTTGTGGCGATAATCATCCAGATACTGTATCTGCTCGTGAAACGCTAAGCAAAGTTACCAGGCTTCTTGCAAATGTTCAAACTCATCCTTCGTCATAGATTCTGCATTTCTTGTTAGCAAATTTAGCCTCAGATTATACAGAGTTTACAAATAAAAACTTCTATAAAGTTGACAGATTTTCATTTTTTAAGAAATACCATTTTAACTTTGAATCATATTTCTCTCTCAAAAGGTATGGATTCACCGTAATATTTTCGGCTGCATGAATGAGCAGGATCATAGAACATATGGAAAAACCGGGACCTAAGGGGAACCTCACAGTAGTCAGGTTTGTCTCTTTTATTACATGCATTGAATTGATATCCATCTTTGATTTCTTTCCCTAGTTAAAATTACACTTTCTAATCATTTTTGTTGTGGAACTTGATTGAATTCTCTGCCTTTGTTTCTTGAATATTTGTGTGTGTGTGTGTATATATATATATATATATATATATTGGTAACTCAATCATGTAATCTGAATTTAGTTCAAAGATGAGTTGATCAATCTTTTACTATACTTCCAGTCTAGGTTAATGGACAATATTAATTGTCACAAGTACAATGACTTAAACATTAACATAGGTGATAGGGTTTGGTGGGTTGGTCCGGTTACTTGATTGGTATCGTATCGAGAACTAGATGATCGCTCTTTCACTTACAAGTACGGAACTTTGATATTAACATAGTTGATGGGTTCGAGGGTGGTTTGCTCACTTGATTCGTATTTGTATATACAAGGGCATTGCACGAGAAGATCAAGTCTAGGTTCCTGAACATTATTACTGGTCGATACGACTATATATTACTGGGTTTGATAGGCTCAAATGTTTTTGGTGCAAAAACTCTTCATTATCAACACAAATCATTTATTTTTTTGCCTGATAAGTGAGTTGTTTGTTGTAATGCATAGTGAATGATTAAAAATCAATGGGATTTGAAGCTATTCTTCCAGCTGCATAGGGATTGAGTAATTGTTGTTGGATGAGTTTGGGTCTATTTTGGGCACCTCTCATCATATTATTTTACCAATTTTGTTGTATAAAACTATTTTCTGTAGTAATAATATTGTATTAAATGTAAAACCCAAAAATTCTAATCATAGATTCAAATGCACTAAGTGACTATGCATATATACACTTAGAAATCTTAACAAATGTTTACCCCTAAACTATACGAATTAGCCTAATTTATCAATTTTAACCGAATCACTTAAGATCCACCTTAGTTACTTTGAAATGACCTAAACGTGTTACAGCCTGCGAGCCTGTAGCCTATGCAGAACACCAAACCTTGCGCGTCTATGACTCATGCGAACCCTTGGCCATGCAAAATATATCTCGCGAACTCTTGTTAGCAAATACGTGTATCTCATCTATAACCCTATGAGCACATTTTATAGATAATATCTAATGGCCACGTATTGATACACGTGCCTTGTTTGATGACTAATCAAGTCTATGTCTAAGACGTCCCATCAACATCAATGTTACTATAATTCTTAATTAACACTTGTTTAGGGTACTTGAGAAAGTCACGTAACGAAGAGTAAAAGGACATACAGTCTTCTTCGCAAGAAATCCAGGCTTAAGTCACTTGAGAAGTTTCCCAATCACCATCTATGATTATTGTCTCTTTCACTAATCAATACAACGAATAATATTAGTTATAGATATGATTTTGAAAAAATAATAATAATTGAGAGACTAAAATAGAATTTAGTAATAGATGGTGACCAAATAGATAATTCGCCCTAAAAAAACCAAAAAATGGGCATACCGGCTCTAATTAAAACAAGGTGGAGAGATATGTTACGAGCACGTGTGATTAAAGTTTATCCCCGAAAAAGGCCTTTAACATTGCAATTGAATCAAACTGAATCGCTCTTTAGAAATCGGAAGCCAAATTCCTAAAAAAAAAAAAGGAAAGAAGAGGCCTATTTCGTCAACAAAATCCAAAAATAAAATTGAACGGCGATAATATCCGGCGATGGTTCGACCAATGGCGGCGAGCACAGCCAACCGATCGTCATCATCGATCTCCTGCGCGACAACAATCGTGACAATCGATAATTCCTCGGGAGTCTCCTCATCGTCGCAGCCTCAAGAAGCCCACGTCCTCAAACTCCGCCCTAGGAAGAAGAAAGTTACGTGGAAAGAAGGAACCGTGGACAACGAGTTCATGAACAAGAAGAGTTCCAAAATATGCTGTATTTACCATAAAGAAAAACCCTTTGACGAAGACGACAGTGATGACGAAGGGCATGATCATCATCATCAACATCCATCCAACGGCCATGGTTCCTCCAAGGATGGCTGCGGGTCCAGCAGCAACACCAGCGCCTGATTTTGTTTTTAATATGTTTCTCTAAACTTTGTTTTGGATGCAACTGAACAAATTTTCATTAAATACTACAGTATTGATTTCGTATATTTTGAATTAGTATGCTTTTTAAATAGTAACATATATAATTGGTATATTATATGATTTCTGAAGATGAATTTAAACCCATATTACTTCTGATCTGCTTTCATTTTTTGCCTAATATTTAGGAATGACTTGAGAGATTGTCTGCTTATAAAATCTCTTCTTGCTGGCCTAGTTAAATTTGTCCAAGAATTCCAACATCAGAGCTGAAGGTATGTTTCAAATAATAACTCTGTTTCATAATATGCATGCTGAATAATTTTATTAGGATACATAACAAAGCTAGCATGTTGAATAATTTCAATTGAAAATGGCTTAATTTTTGGTAGACAATGCTGAATCCTTATTGGTGTGCGTCTAGGGACAGATGTAAGATTGTATGTTAGGGTCGGTTTATAAAATTTTAGGGGCCGAAAACACGAGAATTTGAAATTTCCAAGCATCCGCCCTTTTGTCAATCCCTGTGTGCGTCTATTAATCTGATTGCTTTTCGTTTTCCCTTGTCTGACTCCTTTTTGCATCTAGCTTTTCTTTTCTTTTTTTAATGCTATTACTGTAATTTAAGTTCACTGATCTATTGAGCGTGCCATTGTTGGTTTTAAAAAGTTAAGAGAGTTGCTGAGAAGATTATGGAGGGGAAGGAGCAAGGAAAAGGGAATGAGGGCGTGGAGATGGTGAGCTATGTCACTTTGGGTTTGGATATAAGTTTCAAATACAAGTACGTGTTTATATAGGCGTGTTCAATCTTTCATTTTAAGATGTTATTATGTATTTAGAGGATGCTTAGAGGATCCTATTCTATATACATTTTTCAGATATGGAGACACAAACTAAACTCCGTTAAGGGATTATTGTTATCGAAGACACATTTACAAGAGTATATGAGAAAAAGAATTTCTATGTTTGATTTGGGAGGATTCCCCGAAGGATAATAGACTACTCCTTTATCAATAGTAGTGTTTTCCTCTCAAATGGTGAAAATTCATTTTCATTAATTTCTAAGTATTGTACAATTCTGACCCTTTTTGATATTACCCTTGAAATAAAGATGTATTGTCCATATGAATCGTGTGTTGTTTTTTTGGTAAACTACATCATTCATCACTAGATTATCTTTTCACTCCTATTTTGGTCATTAAAATTTTAAAAAAATTAATTTAGTCATTGAACTTTTGAATTACTCCTATTTTAACCACTCTCTGATTACGTGGATTATTTTATTATTATTCTTATTATGAAATGGAAAAATATTAAAATTTAATTATAAATATAATTTATAATAATAATAAATAAAATCCCTAACTCTAACCCAACTCCCAACCCCAACCCCAATAGCCGATTCAAACTCTATATTTACCTCCTCCTCCTCCTCCTTCCCAACCCCAAATCTCAACAGCCCTTGTTTTGCAACTGGGTTAACCAAGAATAATAAGATAGATGAAATGATCAATCCTCCGAGCTTTCCCTTCTTTTTTTCCTTGCTTCCTACGGGTATTGTACCCAACGATCCACTCTCATCATTGGCAAAAAATCCCATGCCTTAATCTTCAATACTGGCTTTCCACAGTCGAAAATAGAGTTCTTTTAAAGGGTAACATTAACTTTAGGTGTTGACGAAGGCATATGATTTTAAGGAGAAGATAGAGTTCTTTTAAAGGGGGATTAGCCAGGCTATTGATATTTGGAGCACTGCTTCTTCTTTGTGGAAGGATTTTTGTTTGGGATTAAGGGATTAAACTGGATTAATATTTAAATGTGGAGTCAAAGTTTTAGAATTAATATTAAATTATAATAATGTGTAAAGTTTATATGTCAAATTTATTACTATTCTAATTTCGTAAATCCAATATCACTCCTCTAACTTTTAAATGAAAATGATAAATTTATTATTTTTGAAGTCACGTTATATTTTATAACTTTTTATAATTGAGGTTAAAGGTGGCAAGCGTGTCGTTCAGAGTAGATACGAGTTGGATCATTTCGGGTCTAGACTACATTCAATTCATGTTTGATTGGGTTGAATCATATTTGGTTTGAATTTAATTTGTTTCTATAGTAAGTCGGGTCAGGTCAATTTTCGAGTTGAGTTCATATCGATTATTTTTTAGCTCGAATCAATATCAGATTGATTATTTTTTAGCTTAGATCAATATCAAATCGGTTGATTTTTGGGTCAAATAAATCTTTGATCTATGAGATAATTCGGTAGAATTGAATATGAGTCCAATCAAGTATATATAAAATTATTGACATATTATTTATAAAAAATATATTTTTACTTGTCAATCTTATCATTTAGGCTTAATTGCATTCAAATTCAGTCATCATTTAGCAATGATAGTTTAACTTGAACTATACTTATAAGACGTATTAGAGTTTGTGATCTTTTCATATTGTTTCAGTGAGAAAAATTTACGGTGTGACCTATTTGATGAAAAAGAAAAAAATTTATTATAAATTTTATTATAAATTAAAATTTTAAACTCTATGTTTAATTATAAATATAATATTTTTATTGAATTTGAATAAGAATAATAAATCAAATATGTTTGAATGAGTATTGTTTTAAACAGGTTTATAAATGATATTATAGGGTAAACTGTGCGAATAGTCCCTTTTGTTTAGGGTCTGACTGACTTTGATCACTAATTTAAAAATTAAAGGTAAATGGTCTCTCACATTATCAATCCGTCCGGTTTAAGTCATTTTAGTACTAATTTTTGTTAACCCCCTTTTATTTAAGTCCCTAACATGATTGAGGGACTAAAATTGAACGAGAGTTAACGACTGAGGGACTGAAATTGAACGAGAGTTAACGACTGAGGGACTAAAATCTAATAGATTGATAACATTAGGGACTAATATCGAACAGATCGATAGCATTAGGGACCATTTTCCCTTAATTTTTAAATTGGTGACCAAAGTCAGTCAGACCAAAAACATAGGTGACTATTCACATAGTTTACCCAATATTATATTATGGATAATATTTTAATTTTAAATTATAAATAAAAAATAAATTTTTATATTGTAAAAATAACCTTTTTATATTAAATTTAAGTAACTACTTTTTTCATTGGTGAAAAAATAAAAATATTTGAAAATTAATTTAATATTTTTTAAAAATTATTTAATTGGTTCCAAAGTTAGTTATTAAATTAATAAATTATGATTTGATTTAAGTGATTTAAAATTATTTTAATAATTTTGGGCCATTACTTAATGGAGTCTAAATTGAAATATTTAATTAATAAATCATTAATTAAATGATTTAAAGATTAATTTAATATTTTTGGATCATTAATAAAATCTAAAATAGTTATTAAATTAATAAAATTAGAAAATTTAAATAAAGTCTATATAAGTCTAGGACGATAAGTTATGATTTTACGGAATCAAAATTGGAGTATATAAAAATTATTGAATCAAAATTTTTTACCTTATAAATTAAAATTAATTTAATTTAATTTTGATTAATTGATATTAAATTGAATAATTGACTTTTAGACTTAGATATTTAATAAATAAAATTAGTTAAATAATATTTAAATCAAATAAATAATTTAAATTATATATATATATATATAAAGTTGGATTTTAGACTTATCGTTCTATTATTTATCATGTTGTTAAAAAGATAATAATAAAAAAACATTCATTCACTTTGACTTAACTATCAGGTTAAAATCAATAAATGTTCAGTTTAGATTGAATTTAGATAAATTAAATACGTGTTATTTTCGATTTATGTTATTTTTCTGTTCGGATTATTTTTTATTCAAATTGCTTTCGATTTGAGTTTCTTTCAGTTTAGATTACTTTTTGTTTGGGTTACTTTCGATTAGGGTTGCTTTCGGTTTGAATTATATTCAATTTATGTTGTTTTCGATTTGAGTTATTTTTTATTCAAGACTATATCAATTCAACTAAAATTCAGATAGGTTTTAGTTCAATTCATTTGTTTCAGGTTTAAATCAAATTTGGGTAATCGTGTTTAGATTTATATCATATTTTAAATCGAATAAATCAGTTTACCAAGTCTAATTGAGACTAAAAAATAACCTTGAAATATTATTTGTGTATTTTATCCTTAATTATATCATTTCTAACCGCAAAAAAAAAAAAAAAACCCCCGAACTTTCTATTTAACAGCATCGTCCTGAAATCCATCAAATTCACTTGGTGGTCTTCTCCCTTTCTCTTTGTATTATTCTCCCCTCCCACTTTGAGGTAACCTTCTCTTTCCAGTTTTCTTTTGGCTACACGTTTTGAATTTTTTTTTCTGGATTTCTCTATTTTTAACTCTTTTTAAAGCTATTTTAATGTATTCACCCCTGTTTAAGCTACGATTTTGATCTTGTGTGTGGGAAATTAAACATGTCATTGCATTTTATAGTTCATCTGTAGTGTGTTTAAATGAAATCATGAATTTCCCCCCATTTTCTTATGCTAAATTAAATTGATTCTGGCACTAAAATATATATTTGTATTGCTTATTCTTTTTTTTAATCTTGTCTTCTTTTTGTTAGGTTTTTCTTTTCTTTTACTAATATTTGAACTTGTTTGGAAAATTAAACCCATAATAGCTTTAAATTTGGGACGTTTTTACTGCATGATACTGAATGTTTTTAGTTTCTTATTTCTTAAGAGTTTTAAGACTTCAAACTTAAAAGTGAATTGTTTGCTGTATCATTACTATGGTCAAATTCTTTTATTAGTCTCTAAATTACACGTAAATTACGGATTAGCCCCATACTTTAATTTGATTAGTTTTTATCTATGTACTTTTTTTTTTTAATTTTGAAATTCTAGTCCTAACCTAAATAGTGATTCAATGAAGTGATAATATGCTTAAATTACATGACTTAAAATGATTAATTTGAAGAAGGTGAACTAAATTTTTAACTTAGGCATATTACTAAAACTAATAGCAACTGTTTGAATTAGGGTTGAATTTTTAATTTTGAAAGTACAGGATCTAATAAAAGAATTTGAGCTATTATTATTTGGATTTATGTTTTTTAAACATGTAGCCTTTCAAGTTTTTTTTTCTTCTTCTTTTTGAACAGTAGGCTTTCAAGCTAAGATTTCAGTAATGGGAACTGCGGATGCTTCAAGCAAGGTAATTCGCGTGATGGAATTTATTTCGTTGACCTATTTGTTCTTGGAAAAGGGGAAGAAATTCCCTTTCATGGAATCAGTTACATAGATGACATTGAGTTGTTAAGGAAGAATATAAATGCAGGATGTGGCGTTTAGCTTGGCTGAGAAAAAGCCAAAAGTGGTTTTTGTTTTAGGTAATATTTCCTTTTTTACTGTTGGTGGTTTTAAATTTAGCTTTCTAAGCCGCTTAATCTTATTGTTAATTCGATAAGGTGGCCCGGGCAGTGGGAAAGGCACTCAGTGTGCTAATATTGTCCAGCATTTTGGTTACACTCATCTTAGCGCTGGAGATCTTCTCCGAGCAGAAAGAGACTCTGGTTCTGAAAATGGGTATGACATATCTCCCCTATAATAGTTTGACATGCATTCACTTCTATATGAATTCTATACATAAAATTCATTGAGTGGCCTCAGCGATTAAAGGGAATGTAGACCAAGTTCGAGCAGTTGCGTCTGCAGGGTATGTATGCATTGTCAATAGGCTAAGAAAAATTCTAAACAAATCTACCTTGTAGTCACCGCAGACTATTAAAAGAAAAGAATTCTAGACGTAATTTAGATTATCTTTTTATGTAATCTATGCTATTTTTTAGGATTGAGAAACAATATTCTTTCAAATGATTGGTTACCATCTGTACGTGTCAATAGATCTTGCATATCATGTCTAGGTTTTTCATTTCAGGATCAGTTATTTTTCTCGAGAAAATTTCCATGCAGATGTACTCTTTATCATTGGCTTAGTGTAAAATGAATGCATTATTCTCTTCTGGTCTGCAGAAACATGATTCAGAACATGATGAATGAAGGAAAGATTGTTCCTTCTGAGGTAACAATTAAGCTTCTTGAAAAAGCAATGCTGGAAAGTGGAAATGACAAGTTTCTTATTGATGGTTTTCCTCGCAATGAAGAAAACCGTGCTGCATTTGAAGCTATTGTAAGGCTATTATTCTTCATTCTCTATGTATTTCACTTCTTTTTTGTGGTCTTCTCGGCATCATTCATTTAGATATTTAAACAAAATCCAAGAGTTTAAAATGACTTCACTCACATGCCGAATGCAGACTAAAATTGAGCCAGAACTTGTCCTGGTTTTTAATTGTCCTGAAGAAGAAATGGAGAGGCGAATTCTTAATAGAAACCAGGTTAACCTAATTTCCTGTCTGAAAGATATATATTGGTTTGAATCAGATGATTTCCTTGTTGCCTCTCTGTTGTACCCATTTTTGTTCTTTAAACCTTTTTTTTCTTCTGGATATTAAGGGAAGAGATGATGATAATATTGAAACAATAAGGAAGCGATTTCAGGTGTTCCTAGAGTCCAGTCTTCCTGTAATTGAGTACTATAAGGCAAAGGGAAAGGTTCGAGAGGTGATATTCTAAGTCACTGAAATGTTTTTGTTTTATAGTTTGCATGTTCACATTAACTCGAATGTTCTTTATTTACCATCAGATTGATGCTACAAAGTCCATAGAAGAGGTATTTGAGGCGGTTAAAGTTATTTTCTCCCCAAAAGATGAGGAGGTAAAGAAGTGTTGTGCTATTCTCTAAGTGCTCTTTAGCTGGAAAACAAAAAAAGAATTGAGATTTCATTGCATTTGTAGATATAATAATGTAAATTATGAGGTGTATGTATAATTATATTGTTTAATGGTATTGACTCTGTTGTGTTCTGCAATGAATGGCCATTGAACTTTATACTATTTTTTGAAATCAAACATTAGTTTAAGAATTTATTGATTGCTAACCTCTTCTTTTGTAAGAAGCTTTGCATAGGTAATTATAATTATGATAGAAGCTGTAGAAGTTTTCTGACTCTTTTTAATTATCCATTCCAGTCATGGTGAAGGAAGAGAATGACTATGATTGAGAAGATGCAATGTATGACATGAAATCATAAAAAGAGAAGCACATTTTATAGGATCCTTGCATGGCATTCCAAGATTTAAGTTGAAATTTTTGCTGAGATATCCAGTGCTACAAGAACTCAAGAAATATCTGCTGTTTTCAGCTAATTAAATCTCAACAGTGAACACTAAACGTCGAAGTTCATAAATAAGTTGTTAAAACTTTTAGGAATATCTTGTGTTTAATTAGGCATCCAGGTGGATGATTGGAATTTTTCTCTGCAGATCAACTGTGTATGACTTACTCCGTTGTAGGTGCTAAACGAGTAGTACCTTTTATTCAAGGGTTTCTGGGCACCAAAAACTGCTTGCATTAGTTAGGAAAGCTACTTTTGCTTGTAGAATATAACCATCTTAGTTTTCTTCTTTGACTTTTAATTGATATATATATATGGCTTTTGCAGGTCACTGCCTAGATATTATCAAGGATAAAAGAACAAATCATACTGAGATGATACTTTAAATATGAAAGATACGAGCCAACAATTCTTGGTGTCTTTTATTTTTATTTTTTCTGTTGAGATGTGAGATTTAAAGTATGAACTTCTAATCTAATACTATTTTTTTTCTCTTCCAGTTGATATTATAGTTTGATTCATATACTGTGCTTTGGGGTTTTTGTTTATTAAGTTGGAATTTACGTGATGATGTTCATACCACTACATTCCTACCTTTATGCTCTTTTCTAGTCTCTTCTCTGGTACTTATTCTTCGGACGGTAAGTTCCCATTAAAAAAGATTCTTATTCTTTGCACTTGGAGTTGCTCAGCGAATACTTTAGAGGTGAGATTCTTATTCTTTGTGCTTCAACGTGGCGCTCTGAGTACTTAAAAGCTGAGATTCTTCTTTGATCACTAATCATCATAAGCCGTGTATCCAACTTACAATTCATAAACAGCCGCATCAACTTTATACTTTTTACTGGAGTTAATTGCATCATGTGTCCTCAAAGTATGACCTTCATTTTAAATTGGTCCTTAAACTTTTAAATGTTCCAATTCCATCCCTAAACTATGACTATCATTCTAAATTAGTCTTCAAACTTTTGAATAGCTCAATTACATCCTCAAACTATGACATTCATTCTAAATTGGTCCTCTTTTTGAACATTCCAATTTCATCCAAGCTAGACGTATATACTAATCACATCCATTGTTAATAAAATCTTTAGGCTAAGTTATATTGTTATATGTTTAAGAAAATTAGGTTAAATTATGGTTGAAACTAATTATATATTTGCATAAATTTTGGGATGAAATTGGAATATAAAAAATTTTGGGTATTAATTTAGAAAAAGGGTATAGTTTAGGGATGAAATTAGAATGTTAAAAAATTTAAGGATTAATTTAGAATGATAGTCATAATTTGGGGATGAAATTAAATTTTTTAAAAGTTTAAAAACCAATTTAAAATGAAAATTATAAGAATTTAGAGACATATAATGCAATTAACTCTTGGGAGAGTCATTCCCTGATCCGATTGTCTAGAGGTTATAAAACTCATTGCAGCTGAAGATGATGCAGCTGGTCATTGTTAAGTGGTACGAGCAATTGGTACCAAACCAATATTACTTTACTTGATACTGTTCTTTCACATATTTAGAACCTCATTATAAGGGATAATCAAGGCCTTTTGTATTTAAGAGCATGATGTAATATTTGTGTTTCATTTTAATTAAAAAAATGATTGAATGACAAACTTTATAATATTTTTTTTATTTCTTAACTAAATTGATGAAATATTCTTTCTTTATTCTTCTTCTTATTTTTCTATTAATAAAAGGAATATTCTTTCTATTATTTTTCTATCATAAAATCGTATCATATCCAAAGTCCCCAGATTTAGAAACCGGAGATTTTGGACTCACTGGGTCGCTGGTCTGTCCTGGAATTATCTTTGGGTTTGGTGGCCGATTCATTGGACTAATTGGGCTCACTCTTGCCTAAGCCCCTAATGGATTACGAATCTAATAATGGATCCCAAGCATCTGCAACTCGGCCTTCAATTTAGCGATCTTTCACGAACTTATTTTCTTATTTCTCCGCTGCCCAGAACAGCAAAATATATCTTTTTATTAGATACATTTTTTTCCATCTGGAATTCAATGGCTCAAATTCCAAATTTAGACAACTCTCCTCTGAATCTCAAGTCTCTCAGGTGCAATCTAATTGCACAATCTCGTTATTTCCTTCAATTTCATTCGATTTTGCATTCATTAATTATGATTTATTATCACTTTACAGGGAACAGTCACAGCGAGATCTTGTTAAAATCCTCAAAGATGTAATTGTTCCTTTTCTAAACTTACTGGCATTTTATTTTATTTTTCAACTTAACTACTACTTGGTTGCCGATAAAGCTCGAGAAAAAGGAAAATTAAAATGATGTTGTTGCACGAAGCCTCGTTTAGTGGAAATATCTTTTTGTTTTTATTGATTATTATTGTTAACATTGTTATTTGGTTATTTCGATGATATTAGATTCGCGGGAAAAAATGTTTGGTTGTTGAACCGAAACTTGGTGGCACCCTCTCTTTGATTATCCAAACATCTCTTCTTAAGGTAATTCACTTGTTTTATTTTTGCAACTCTAAATGTTCGAAGATGTCACAGTTTTAATTAAATACTTAAATTCAATCAGAAAACATTACTTTTCTTTTGATTATTGAAGCACTAACGGCTCCTCTGTTGACAAGTTCTATATTTTTGATATATTGTTATATATTCAGCCTGTTTCAGTACATACTTAAATTCAAAAAAGAAGAGGATATAACTGGATGATTCATCTTCTATACATAATTAAATATTTAAAAAAGATTGATAGAGAAACAATGTACATAAAGTATATGAGTATGGATGTGTTGTTGACTATGTTCAGGAATATGGGATTGAGTTGCGGCATCTTTCAGCGGAGTCAGTTCAGACTGATTGCTCCAAAGTGGTTTATCTTGTTCCTTCTCAGCGTGACTTGATGAAGTCCATATCTTCTCATGTGCATGATGATATCTCGAAAGGACTTCAAAGAGAGTACTTTATCTATTTTGTTCCTCGCCGTGAAATTCAATGTGAGAGGGTAAGCATCTATTACTAAACTGTTTATATTTATACCTATGTATATTGTTCACACAAACACCATAAATAATCTTCATCTCTGTGCAGATCCTTGAGGAGGAAAAAGTGCATCACTTGATAACCATAGGGGAGTATCCATTGTATTTAGTTCCATTGGATGAAGACATTTTGTCATTTGAACTGGATCTTGCGTACAAAGTACGAAAAAGTTGCCTTCTTTCCCACCCACTGAATTCATCTTGTGGTTCTGAAGAATAAGAACCAATTTTTATATGTGTGTTTCTTCATTGTAGCAATGTCAGGTTGATGGTGATACTGGCTCACTTTGGCATATTGCAAAAGCCATTCACAAGCTTGAGGTTAGCATTGCACTACTTATGTTATTTATTTGGGCTAGATAAGGATGATCAGATATCAAGAGTTTATAAAATAAGTTAATTAGCTTATCATATGATTAAGGATGCCCTAATTTCATAAAGCTCTATCGTTCTAAATTCAGTATTTTCCTGAATTAATCTTAAATATATACACATTGCAGTCTACTTTTGGAGTTATACCAAATGTGCGTACAAAAGGCAAAGCATCTGGTATTGTCTCTGATATTCTGGATCGCATGCATACGGAAGAGCCGATGAATTCACCTGATGTAATTATGGCCCCATTTAAAACCTTTTTTCCCATCCAAATATGAATTGATGCTTTTGCTTTTAAGTATTTATAAATGACTCGTGGCCTTGGTTTCCATTTTTTTTCTTCAGATGGCTTTATCAGAGATTAACACTCTCATCCTCATAGATAGGGAGGTGAGTCTCCCTTTTCAGTGAACTAAGTAATTTTCTGTTCTAGAATGTTTTTATCAAGATTAAGTGAGAAAGTTACTACGAATGTTTTAAGGAGAGCTACAAATTTATAATCCGATTCAAACCCAAAATTCTCAGCCTACCTGCTAATAGTTTACTATATTAAATTGGTAAAATTCATGTGAGCTCTAAGGTTACATGGTCTGTTGCCTCTCTCACTCTCTCTTGATAGTGAAATGGACTGAACAAATAAACCATAGTTATTATAACCTGAAACGTTGTAGTGCTTGTTTGCAGGTGGATATGGTTACTCCTATGTGTTCACAGCTAACATATGAAGGGCTACTCGATGAGGTAAGCTGATGCAAGCAGTGACAGTATTACAATTGAATATTGTTTAATATTTCCTTTGCAAAGCATCATGTTCATGTCTATTTGGAAGATCAGTCTATCTGGAGAAATAAAATTTGAAATTATGTTGCTTTATGAATAACAATTCAAAGGACTAGTGCTGTCTTTATTATAATATCTTTTGCTAACATCTAACTAGTTCAATTAATTTTTTCAAATAAAATGTTCTCATGAGGTAGCTTGTTGGTGGCATAAATTACTGCGAAAGCAGGAATGCCACTTTTGCAACGTACTGTCTGCAAGATATTACATGCCAAAAGGTCCCAAGTTGGTCCTGGAATGTAACTAAGAAATTCAAGCTCTCATGTCTTTTCTAAAACCTTTTCTCCTTCCCATTCTAGTGGATGTTTTGACTCTGTTTAGTAGTAAAGCACCTGTAATAGCGAGACTGTTGAACCTCCCTGTTTAATGGTTTTGAGTAATTTTATCCGAAATAGGTTGGTTGGATAGGAATCTAACGGAAGAGGTTTCCTAATCAAAATTGTAATACTTAACTCTTGTGGGGCAATCAGTGTTTCTATTATTAGATATTTTCTCTCTTAGTTGTATTTGATAATTCTCTCTCAATTATTTCTCTGCAGTTCTTGCACATTAATAATGGTTCTGTGGAGCTGGATTCATCTATCATGGGTGTTCAGCAAGAAGGAAAAAAGATGAAGGTCCCGCTTAATTCAAGGTGGAGTTAGCCTATGCTCAATCTATTTAACTGATTAGTTGTAGTAGCACTTTGATTCTTTTAAACATTGTGGTTTTGCCTGTGTTTTGATATATGGTCAATTGGTCATGGTTGGATTTGGCTTTTATTATAAGGCTCTTAAATCTGTGCCTTTGTTGCATTTGGCAAGTAATGTTGTCTTTGAGTCAATAGAACCAAACATGAATGTTTTAACTTCTTGTTATTTCACCAAGATTCCTACCCTCCTTTGTATTTGTCTTGATGGATAATGAATAAATTGAGTTATATTGGCTTCAGTTAGAACTCTAATTTCTCTTCACAAATAAAAGACTTTTAGCCAAATATTTTTTGTTTACTGCCTTGTTCTCTCCTCTTTTCTGTATCTAATGCTTATTTTAACTTTTAGTGACAAGCTTTTCAAGGAGATACGAGATCTCAATTTTGAAGTTGTTGTCCAGGTTGACCTGTTTTAATCAATTTCATATTTATTTTTCCAATTATCGCTTCCCTAAAGTTAATCTCTTCCAAGTTTCTCTTCTTAGTTGCCATATGATTGCAGGTTCTTAAGCAGAAAGCAACATCTATGAAAGAGGACTACACTGAAATTACCACAGCTGTAAGTGAATAAGGACCTGAACTATTCTCATGCCTCATATGTCATGCTTAATGTCATAACCTGACTATACTTCATAGTCAAAATCTTAGTGAAAGTAGTTTTTTGTGACACTATTTAAGTTTTCCCGTCACATTTAGAAAGTAGTCATACGCAAGTGGAAAGAATATTTGAATGGTTTATTGTACGAGTAAATCATCTGTTAAACTCTTCTCCTTTGTGTTCACTTTTAATGTATCATATTGTGGATGACTGAGTGGTTCAAATGGTTTCCTTCTGAAACAGTTGAAGATTCTTAAGTTCATATAATCCCTTTTGAATTTGATAAATGCGTACAGAGCCAAACAGTTTCTGAACTCAAGGACTTCGTCAAGAAGCTAAACTCATTACCAGAAATGACTGTGAGTAGGGTTCTTTGATTTTTGCCTATTGGGAGTTACATTGACTTCCTGTAAAGTGGTCTGGATGAGGTTGTAATTAGCTGCTGATTATTGCTTCAGAGACACATAAACCTTGCACAGCATCTCTCAACATTCACATCAAAGCCATCTTTTCTTGCAAAACTTGACATGGAACACACAATTATTGAGGCCTCGAGCTATGACATGTAAGTCTCACATGCTTCACCTGCAAATCTCACGAACTCAAAATGCGAGTCCTTGCAGTTCTCTGTTTTGTAATGCAACTATTACTGATTGCTCATAGCATTTTGTGGTGAACAAATTTATTCTCCGTTCTGAGCATATTGCAGCTGCCTATGGTTTAATTTTCTTTAAAAAACCGTTTCATCCTTACAGTATTTGGCATTTTTCTTTTTCTAGTTTCTAAACATTTGTTTCTGGCCTATAAATGCAGTTGCTTTGAATACATTGAAGAGATGATCCATAAGCAGGAACCTCTTGTCAACATATTGCGTCTTCTCATCCTATTTTCTGTAACTAATTCAGGGTTGCCTAAAAAGCATTTCGACTATTTGAGGCAAGCATTATTACTCTGTGGAAGTCGCTTTTAGTCTTGTTTTTGTTCTTTGATGTTGACTGTGTATGCTGATTTTTTACTGCTGACTTTTACAAATTAACAGCTATTTTTCTTCTCTGGTTTATTTCCTTATTCATGGTTTAGGAGGGAGCTTCTCCATAGTTATGGATTTGAGCACATGGCTACACTAAATAATTTGGAAAAGGCTGGATTGTTCAAGAAGCAGGTATAGAATAAGAGTGCATAAACAGTCATACTCATTTCCTTCGGTTTGTGTACTTGTCTAAACTATTATTTTAGTAAATTGTTTTGCATTTGACTCTTGTAGGAATCAAAAAGCAACTGGCTGACAGTCAAACGTGCTCTGCAACTTGTAGTTGAGGATACCGACACTGCAAAGTATTTTCTTCTCACTGATGCAATCTTTTCTGATAAATGAACTGTATATTTTTGCTACGAACTTATTTCAGTGTTAGAGGCTATGTTTCTGGGACTCATCTGTTTGGGGTGTCGTACCCCTGCCGACATGATCTGACATGGATTCTGACATAGGATACGGGTCAGATCCGATGAAGGCCGGCAGAACGGCAAGAAAGAAGAAAAAAATGAAAAAGAAAGGAGTGGGGGAAGGAAACTTTCAGAAAAGAAAGGAAAGAAAAAGATATGATTGAAATTACATTTATTGAGGAAAAACACATAAAATATAAAAAAGTAGGCTTATTTGAAAAATGTGTCCAAACTATACCTATTTTGTGCGTTAGGTGACTAATTTTTTGTTTTTGTTTTTGTCATAGTAGGTGTCTAAAGTTTCATTCCATAATCATTTTCAGGTCGTCCATTAAAAAATCATTATCCTCCATTGATGAGTTCTTCAAGCTTTGCAACTTATTTTTACTCAGCTTTCCATTACAAACAAAATTGAAGTGTTTTGGGAATAACTTTTGAGAGTTGGAGTCTTTATTCACTTTCACATTGATGAGTTTTTGCAATCAAAGTGTTTTTGGACAACTTTTTGGGACTTGAGGTTTTTGATTTCTCAGAAAACAAAGAGAGAAAGAAAGGTATAGATCAAAATTGATGCACAGGGAATATATGAGTTCATGAAATCAAAGTGTTTGGGACTTGAGATTGTTTGATTTCTCATAAACGTACCAATTTATAAAATTTTTCTTTTGTTTTTACGCTTGTTTTCCTATAAAATCAAAGGGGAGAAAGGAAGAAAGTGAACAGATGTCACATGTCATGCGTTCATTGGGTAATTTTTTTAACGGGTGACCTGGAAATGGGAACGAAATGAAACATTAGGCATTTACTTCAACCAAAAAATCTAGTCACATAAATAAAAAAATAGAGATAGTTGGACACTTATTTTTCAATTAAGTCAAAAAAGTAAAGTAAAAAGATAATAAGTTAAGTGACGCATGAAATAGGAAAAAAGATACGATATTTGGGTTTTAAGACCCAAAAAAAATAGATAATTAAATTAAATTCAAATAATAAAATAATAAATTTTAAATTATGTTTAGCTTTTAAAATTATTTACGATTGATAAATGAAATTTCAAATTTTTAAAGAATGTTTTTCATAAAAATAAAAGTGATATTATATATTTAAAAATTGATGTATCTACTTGAAAGTACCAATGTCCAGATTTTATATGGTGTCCCTGTGTTTGAAATTTCAAGATTAGATGAGTCCAACACTTAGATTCTTATTGTGTTCGACACTTGTGTCCTGAGTCCAGGCAACTTAGGTTAGAGGTTAGTTACTGCTCGTGTCTACCTGAGTCTTGATTGATATTAGTCACCATCCATCTATATGATTTAGAACCCCAACATTCCCCCCCAAACACCCCCCCACCACCACTGAAAGAAAGAGAAAGAAAGATGGATGGATTTTCTTTTTTATCGAGAGATTCTGTGTTATTGTTTTTAGTATTTTTGTAGTTTTCATGGTGCATTGTTTTTTTAAAATATTCTATAATGTTTGTTGTATATTTATTTGAGTGTTAGATACTGCTCATGGCTAGCTGAGCCTTGATTAATACGAGTCACCATATCAAATGTATGCTAATTATGGCCAATTCACTTCACAATGCTCGGAGCTACATGTAGCATGATCTGATGATAGAATTTATTTTAAATCTCATAGCATGATCTGATGGTATGAAGCCGTTAATTGTCCTCTTTCGCTTCCTGATTAAGAAGTTTTTTGGTGCAACAGTCCTGACGACATAGCCTATGTCTTTTCTGGATATGCACCGCTTAGCATTCGTCTTGTGCAAAATGCAGTTCGATCTGGATGGTAAGTTAAATCTGTTCAATTTCATTCTAATTATAGTATGTGATCTAGATATGTTATGCTTTACATTTTTCTTCCTTGTTGAGAATAAATTTGGTTTAGGTTCTTTGCTGTTGGTTATAGCTGTTCTAAATAGAAAAGGATGACTTAAATTAGTAGGATTTTGGTCATTTCCTTACTTGAGTTCCCAGCACAAGTCGAGGCACTGGTATAGCGGGAGATACGAAGAAGCAGTTTCAGAGTTTAGGTCATGATCTGAGAGCATTAATGAGATTCACCCGTTAGCGTTAGGATCTGAGTTTGAATTGGCTAGGAGGCATGAGTAGTGGTCAGTGTCAATGCTTTTGCTCTTACATATGTCTGTCTTTTTTGTGTTGATGAAAAATAATTGGTTTTAGCTTTCAATAGTCAATGACAACAGTTGTTAGATTTAAAAGAATTTTGTCCTCATCTCTTTCATCTGCAAGGATGTGGTAGTCTATTTGAAGATGGCTCCTTGTCTTTCTTCTATCTTGAAGGTCTAGTTATTTTTTAGCATTCTCTTACATTTGAATAGAGCAATTTTGTCAACCATTTTTTTAGTAAGCTATGAATTATGCGTTTAGATTTTACAATATCCTGCACTGCACTTTGTTATCATTTGGAAGTTGTAATGCAAAGCAAGTTCATAGAGGTTAGGCCTTAAATCAATATTGGATTAAATGAAAAGTCTATATAAAGTAGGCCATAAATCAATAGCAGACTAAATATGTTCCAAGTTTATAGAAAATGGTTCCTAAGCGATAGCAGACTAACTAGTGAATTTTGTTGGAGGATCCACCCCCTCCCAACCCCAAGGGAAAAGAAGAAGAAATTATCAATATTTATGAACTAACTGTGGTAGCATGGCACTGGAGACGGGGGCACAAATGTATAACTTAGAGTAAAACAGGTTGCGGGCAATGTGGACAACTGAAAAAAAAGATGAGGTTGAATATTTAGGGATGGCCAGAAATTGAAAATGCCATCTTGGAAGAGTTGAAGAATACAAATTTATTAAAGAGCACAAGTACTACCAAATAGAGAGAGAGATTAAGAAAATATGATAAGAGTGAAGAAAATAGAGAAAGAAAGGGGGAACGGGACTCGGGGTTGGGTTTGGGGTGGCTGTTGAGTCAACAAGGGAAAGAAGGTTTTTATTGTTTATTGCCTGATTTTCTTTTGTTGTTTGTGTTTACCAGTTAAGTGCTTTAACTAGTCAGGAATGTTCATCCAAGTCCCTTCATGCCTTAAATTTCTGAATGTACGTATAAAATTTCCTTACAGGCGTCCTATGGAAGAAATTTTGAAGCTGTTGCCTGGGCCGCATATTGAAACAAAAAGGGTAAGTAGACTTCTTGGATTAGTTTATTTACTTTATACTTTTTTGTTTGTTTTTTTTTTGTCTGATGTTTTTCAGTTTCAAATATGGAGCGACATTGCTCTGGAATTCTTTTAATAATCACCATCGACTTCTATGCACCAAAACTTGACTCCTCAAGAAAGTTTGTTCTTCAGTTATATTTTAATTACTTTGATAGCATGTTTATTTTTATAGGCTGGGTTCACTAGCAGTCCTTCATTCGGCACATTGCAGGGTGCTTCAAATGGCTTAGACAAGTAAGTGATATTTCCCCTTTTTGTTTGTCTCATAATTCCATTGCTGTACGACCCATTAAATAGTTTCATTTAGATGTATTTGTTGGAATTTATTCTGGTAATGAGATTTCTTCCTCGGTTAATTGCCCAAACAACCAGAATAACCAGGTAAAAATGATTGATGCTAGAAGGTACTAACAATGGGTATAGGGCAGTAAAATTGTGTCTTTCCTTTTTAGTTTAGTGAGTCGCTATAATGATAGCCAGTGATTGTATTTCCTTTAGTTAACGAAAACTCCACTATATGTGCTTTTAAGTTTTAAGTTGTGTTCTGTATTTCTTTGTTGACCTCTATAATTTGGGAATGTCTTCTCTGTTATTTCATTCATTTGCAGAAAAGCTAATGTTACTTGGTTGGGTCCTTGAGTTATTGCAGAATAGCAGATGGTAGGCGCTCCCTGGTACTTGTTGTCTTTATTGGAGGGATAACATTTGCAGAAATTGCAGCTCTTAGATTTCTCAGTGCTCAGGTATGTTGATTATTGTGTATATGGTATGTTCATTGTCGTACAGGTTTTGTTAATATTTCTTGCCATTAAACAGTCATCACTGGCATTATTGGGTCTTGTGTGTGTCGGCTTCTGGCATGTTTATTTTCTTCATGGATTTGGCATCTTTTGGTCATATCGCCATACCCCTGCCCTGATTTGTGTTAAACACGGGTGTTAGAGAAAAAATAAAACTGAAGAGTTGGGGAAACGTAGGTCATTTCTTCATGGAAATGCATAATATTTAAGTACATTGGGAAGCCGTTAAGTGTAATTTTTGGATTTGGGACATGGAGTCTCTGATGATGTTCTTTTCTTTCTTTTGTTGCATAGGATTTTGAGATAGCATTTTTAAGGAAGTTAATAACAAAAAACATTGATTGATTGTCTTAGGAAACGACTACTGTAAAATGTTTCTGAAGGCAATTGTATAGTCTCAGGTTTTCTATGCTTGGATTTGTCGGCTTAATTACATTGCTAGTACTTTAATGGGTTCTTATGAACCTTAATTTCTATATGTGATCATTGAAATTGCCAATGGTTCCATATTATCTCTTAATAGGCCCCTTGAGGTAATCTTAAGTTATAAGGTGATTAAAAATGTAGTTTCTTTCAGTGAGTGCTTGATCCAGAAAAGTTACGTTTTGTCGTTTGGTAAACTGTTTTTCATTGTCACATCTTATTTGAGCTTAGATTGAAGCTGTGTAGTTGATTATGCAATTTAAATTATTTTTATTTTATCATTATACATAATGTCTATCGACTTAAAATTCATTATTGAATGTCAACTTCCTAGTTCCCAATGTCAAGTGCTATATGTAGAAAGTAAGTTTTTTTGGTAAAAAGAATCATTTTCTATTCTCTTAATTTTCTGATTAAATCCATACAGAAAGAAGCCTGTTTATAGTCCAAGTACATAGAGACCTACTAGGACTAAAACTTATTTGTTCGTCCTCTACTTTATATAATATAAAGGCTATTTACACTTTAGATGAGATAAGACTTGGAATAATCTTAACTACTGATTACTACTAACATACAGTAATTAACCGTAAATAAAATATTTACATGACTCCAGTCTACACTTAATACAATTTTTTTTTTAAAAATATCTCAATTTCGTGCAATAATGGTAATTTTAGGTTGACAGTATATTTGAACTCCTCAGCGAGGGTTTAATCTTGTTTGCTGACATTAATTATTTCAAACTGTTCATCTTTCAGTGTTCAATATTGTTAAAACTAGGTTTATTGATCCGACCAGTTTGGTGATCTTATTGAAAGTTAGTTCCCTTGATATTGTTCTTTCTCGTGCAGGAAGGAATGGCATATGATCTGATTATTGGAACGACAAAAATCGTCAATGGTCATTCATTGGTTGAAACATTCTTTGAGACTTTCGGTTAAAGCGAATGTTTGTTCACTTATGAGGCTTTGCCTTTCCAATATTTCTCTTGAACATAAGTATGGCTTATCGGGCATCGAGGCTGTAAATGTGAAGTGCTTGGTAGGGACGAAAGCTGGTGAATCTTGTTGTGCAGAGCCAGATTACTTATGATTTATTTATTTGATTTTATGGTCGGAACTTTCCTTTTCGTTTTTCTTTTCATGAGAGTGACTCTGGATAGTATGACTGTAATGTGATGAAGATGAACAAACTTTCTGGCGGATTTCGGATTTGTCAGCAAGGTAAGTTTGTACTTTGAATAAACTTAAACTATGCTGAATCTTTGTAGGATGATTCCTTGGAGAAAAAGTTTCCTGAGTGTTGAGCCTTAGGGTTTCTTGTCCGTAAAATTAAATCAATATTTTCGATTTAATTCGAAAATTTTAATTTTAAATTGAGTTGTAAAATACAATTCGAATAACTCGAATAATCCAACATTTTTAACAATGAGTGAATTGATTTTAAGGTTTGAGTCGAGTCTCTTGATTTTGTATGATATAAGTATATTACATATGAAAAAAATATGAAGAAATTTATATTGTATACAGTTATAAAAGATTTATTAAATTGAAATTAAATAATATTATAAATATTTATAATTAAATTTAAACATAAATTTAAAAATTCTATTCCACTCAAAAAATTTCAAACCAACTTCAAATTATAAAATAAGAATCATTAATTTGAATAATTCAAAACAAAAAATTTAATTCGACTGAATCGGACGTTTGTTCCCTTATACATGCACAAGGTAGCAACAATTTCCGATTTGTGGTAATCATTATCTAGATCTCTTCACAAACCCAAACAATAATGATCACCTGCTATAACTAGTAACATCATCTTGCGAAGCCAATAATTTTTTAATTATAATTATTTTTAATACTTAGGTGATTATAAGATAGTATATGTTTAGTATATTTTTTAGTTATTGACAAACATATGCACTTTGCAAACATGAAGAAGTTAAGTTTTATCCTGAAGGCCACTATCCCCGTTTTTATATAATTTAAAAATATACATAAGTAAATATCAAATTAGATCTAATTTTAATTTATTTTGAGTTTACCTTCTTTATTTCTATGACTAATCTCATTTTCCATGGTTAGTTATACTTTGTATTTAGAAAAAAACACTTACCGTATCACTAATTTTTGCATGGTTCATTATATTCTATCATTTGATTCCGTCCCCACTTGTAAGCATAGAATTTTGAACCTATGGTCTCTAAAAAAATATTCCTAAAATTACTTGATGAGTTTATTTCTGAATTTTAATAGCTAGTAACAAAATGAAATACAACATCGATTAAGACATTTATCGTATCACTTGACCAACTTTAGCATACCACTTAAGCATGTTAATTTCACAAAATTCATTCAAAGAACAATCAAACGAGGATTCAATTTTATGTTTGAAATAATGTAATTTGCAATTATTCAATCATAGAACAGCTTTTCTAATCATACTTAAGAAATCAACCAGACATGTTATTCCTTCAAACAGATGCATCAAGGACCGAAATACACCCATACCCCTATGGAACGACCATCCTTAACAATATGCAAAAATCCATCCCTATGCCAACAAACACTCCGGTTCATCAAATTGCTGAAATTTCATTTCGATCCATTCAATCCAATTAAACATGTTTCTATAAATCTTGTTGACGTGAGAAACAAGATTGTGGTGGTATTTGATGGTTCACCCCTTTTATTTTAGGTGGAGACTTACAAGCTGTAGTTCTGTGAAGGAGATAGAAAGTAGATGATATGAAGAATGATGATGAACAGTAAGAGAAGTTGAAAGAGAGAAATAGAGAATTCAAGAAGATTTTTTCTCCGATCTCGGTGATTTATATACATGCCCTTTAGAGCTGGTGTTGGGCCCATGATGATTATCCGTAGGTTGGCAAGCTGAACAGATACTAGATTTAACTCTAGTGGATCAGTGAGTCTACTAATGATCATATCAAGAGACTATATCTGACTGAAAGATATAAAACTCCAACAGCTTCTATAATTACACAATTAGTGGAGGTGCGATTTGCGTGAAGATTCGAAAGAGGTACAACATTTATCTCCCCTTTAATTGAGGAAACATCATAAAATGACTTGAATTAAGACGCACAGAGAATTCCCCGGCATTAGTTAGATCATTTCTCATGAACCTAATATTATAATTGGCTTTTAATGACTGACAGCTCGTATGCGTGTCACTTTGTCATTGACGTAAATTAGAGGCGCGATTTCTAACCATTTGGAAGAGTTGTGTTTTAAGGAAAAAATTAAGACAATCTCTCTAATCACAGTTTCTTTTCTTTAATTTATAATTTGCCATAATTTTTCCTGTGAAATTTCTGTAATATATATTTGAAATTTCTTCTTAATACAATGAAGGAATTGACTGCGTCTGGTGGTCGGAGGTTGCTACCCTCAGTCAAAATGAGGCGAATAATATATTTATGAGTTGTGTTTGTGACGGGCAAACTACGGGTCTGGATTCGAAATTCCAAACGAACACACTTGCAATGTGGATTGAAAATGATTTTGTCTTTGTTTATTTTGGAGGTTGGGTTTCATCTCCCGACGCAACCTTTTTTTTTTTTTTTTTTTAAGAATGTGCTCAACACTTGTGAGTAGCTTTGACTTAACTGACCGAAGTTTCCTGGTAGATCATTATCGAGTATTTTATATCTTTCACCAACGAAAGAAGTGAGTATTACGAGCTAACATGAATTAACGACCCGAGATATTAAAATTGAATATCACACAACGTAAAAGATCAAATCCTTTTTTTTTAATTGGTAACCAAAATTAAACAGACGAAAATACGAGGGACCACTCGTGTAATGTACTCTTAAAGAAAACGAACTTATAAAAGTTAATATATTAATAATTTAATTTAAAAATAAAAATTTAATATATTATATTTTCAAGTTACTCGTAAGCTTTTTGAGTATGGTATCAAGTAGCTCACTTCAACTCGTTAAAAACTCGAGTCAAGTTCGAACTCGAATCAAGTTCATTTAATTCGAGTGTTGACCGAGCTTTAACCAGGTTAAATTCGAGTAACTAACAATTTGTCTCATCTATTTACATCCCTAACGAAGACGTTTCAAACCTGGGATGCTTAATAAGTTGAGCAACTCTTGAGTTGCTTGAACTTAACTCGGTAAAAACTCGACCAATACTAGACTCGGACTCGAGACCTTAACGAGTTGAGTTGAATCGAACAAGGCCTAAGTCGACTTTATTAGTTAATTTTTTTTTTATAATTTTTTAGTAATTACCTTAAAAAAGTATTTTATTCAAAAAAATTCTAAAAAATGATTACTAATTAGTTAATATATAATAAATTACCAATTAATAGTTATTATTAATTTACTAATTTAATAATTTGATGTATTTATGAATTGTTACTTTAGAGTTTAACCTTTAAAATTGTTTAATACACTCTTTTAATATTTTTTTTGTAAAATTTATTGATTTATATTTATATTAAGCTCTATATAATATTAGTAGATTTTACTTATAACTAAAAATTAAGGTAAAAATTTTGGAGAATTTAACGAGTAACGAGTCGAATAACAAATTATTTTTACGAACACGATTCAAGCGCCCAACTCACGATCTACTCGCTCTATAGTAACCCATGTTTCAGACAATATGGAGTAATGAGCCACATGATCAAACACAAACTGAACCAACTTACTGCCAATCAAACAATAGAAGATCAAAGATGAACGCTGAAGAATAGTCTTTTTTTTCTTTTACTTTATTTTCAGCCCCAAATCTCAACCACGTGGGGAAGTTCATTACTACTAATTTAACACCTGCAATCCATACTCATACAACAAGTAATTTAGTCTACGTGTATAACTTTCATTTCTCTTCTTTCTTTTGCCCCAAAAGCTGATTTTGATGACAAATAAGTGGAAGAAAACACTGAACCTGTTTTACATTTCTCCAGGAAGCATTGTATCTCCAGGTAGATCACAGAATCCAATACCCTGGAAACATGAAAATAATCCGATTTTAAATCATCGATATGCTAATAACTTCATCCATGAAAATACAATTTGTTGACTCTTGTTATCTGAAGTTTACCTCCCCTGTAAGGTGAGCCACACATCGTTTTTCAGCTAGCAATTCTGCTTCCGACTGCAAATCAGTTGGTGCGAAAAATGTAAGGATATCGGTGTCGGAGTGTAGAGAAGTAGTGTCTCGATTTCACTTTTAGCTCCACAAAATTAGTCAAAATAAAATACGTATCAAGTCCGGGGCTCGAATCCCGTTACGTACCTTTTTAATTCGCTTGACCAAATAGTCATCGAAGATCACTTCCTTGACGAGTTCATAATCACCATCTCCCTACAGAATGCAATTCAAATGATATTTAAAAGTCTGTCATAAATCTCTGATAAGAGTGAACAAAAAGATTTCAAGGAAAGATCGTAAAAATAATTCTCTGATTTCGTACTTTTGATCTGCATGGCATGCTGAAAACAATATCCTCCGCTATACCATACGAATTGCCATTGGTATAAACCTACATTTGCATTGTGAAAAGTGAGATAAAAATTGTAATTGGAACAAGCAAACCTAAATGAGGAATGAAGTTCAATGTTAATCAACTGAGATGGAATTTTTGTGTTAGCCATGGTATGTTTTTCAACATGCTAATTCATACAGGGAAGCTCTATAAAATATCCAGAAAGAAACTAATGGCTAATATCAAAGTTTTCTCATTGCATGTGTATATATTATATGTAAATGTGCATTTCTGTGCAATATTCTCTTCTTTTCGGTGGGTATTAGATTCGATGTAGTAAGGATTAAAGGAGATGGATCTCGAATATACAATTTAATAAGATGGTGTTATCAAAGACGGTAACATATTTTATAAGCGAATAAACTTACACCAGAAGAAAACCAATCCCCCTCTGGTGTCGGAATAATTAGAGACTTGATGCCATCAACTATTGACACAGCAGTAGATGCTGCTGAAGATCTTCCCCATTTCTGAATTAAAACACCACCTCTCTGCAAATCAAAATTCCACACAACTTAACAAATTTAAGGCCCAAATAGTTCATGAAATAACTTATTCAACATGGAATTTCAGGAATTTAGTAGAAATTGTTCCCTGTATTTTACCTTTTGGACCTTCTCAGTAAACTCCTCTTCTAACCATTTGTGATCCTTGATGACCTCCTTGACAGGTAAGCCCTTGATTCTGGCATTTAGGAAGTCCGGAACCTAGGATCGAATACGAACTATCTTATGACAACGTCTTCAGAACCTAGTTTATGCGATTTAGTGTTTACTACCTGTGTTGTTGAGTGATTTCCCCAGATGGTCATGTTCGACACTTGATCGTAGAACACACCTGCTTTTAGGGCAAGCTGCAGAAATCATTGCTTTTACGTAAAACTGTACTTTTTATTACAATATTTGAAGGTTAAAATTAATAACAAACTATTACAGAAACAGGTATTACTCAATCAATGCATATACCTGGCATTTCGCTCTATTTTCATCCAACCTAGTCAGTGCATGAAAATTCTTTGCAGGTATATTCGGAGCATTTTTCATACAAATTAAGGCACTGCATCAGAGAGAATAAGAGAACGATTAAAGGAGCCTAAAATAGTTAGGAATCAAGCACAATAAATCTATGTTACTCAGACTTGGGTGTGAGTGCTGAACGCAGGTATGTTCAAAATTTTCAAGATTTCCATGTATTTTAAAAGCCCCTGAAGGATCATATATATACCCATACTTATATCCAGATATAAGTGACAGGATATGACCTTTCAAGGATCCTCCAAATACATGGAAAACTCTAATAAAAAAAAACATACCTATTCCGGACACATCCCATATACGACACTTAAGACCAGAATCTGAGTAACATAGAGCTACGATGGCAAAGATCCGTACTTGGTATTGCAGGGATTGCCCACTACTATCACCTTCACATTAGGAGACGCACACGCATTGAGAGCTTTTCCCTACAATGTTAGAACCGTGGTCATGATAGCAGATTGATTTTAACATGTCATAACCAAACATAAAGAAATACACATAATGGACTAAAATTTGAAAGCACCTGTTCAGCAAATATCTGCCCATTGATGTCCAACAAGTCGGCTCGTTCCATTCCAGGCCCTCGCGGCTTCGCCCCAATCAGAAGAGCCCATTCAGCATCCTGGAACACTTCATATGGATCTATTCCGATACTAACCTCTCTCAATAAAGGAAACAAAGAATCTTCAAGTTCCATGGCCACTCCTGCATGCATTTGGTCATTAATTTGAAGAGAGTTGCAGCATTTACTGAAAAAAAGCCATTATATATCTTCCCTACATTCAGAGAGCATTAGCACAAAAATTTTCTCCATATTAAAAAGTTATTTAATGTCCTGAGTTTTTAACAATCTATGTTTCATAATAGCTTGGATGTGTATAGAGTCCATTGTCCTCGATACATTCTTTTTTTTCCTCGAGAGAAAGGAAACAGTTTTCCTTTTCTTGAAATGACATCTCGTTAGCCCAATATTCGTGATAAGAATACCTGAAGAACCATACCTTCAAGAGCCTGTACTGATCTTTCCGATCCCAATAGTTTCAGAGCGACAGGCTGATCAGGTCCAAAGACTTCACCAGATGCAATCTGGGAAAACCAAAACAACAACTTGGCAACTAAGTTACAACCCATTAAAATATCACCTACTGTAGTTTTAACTCCTGTAAAGAAACGACGATTTCACTAAAATGGACAGGTTAAAGCAAGATACTATTGGGCATCAAACTCCAAAATTATCACTGGATCATCATTCAGACACAGTGGATGTACAATGGGAAAGCAATGAGAAATGTGGAAAATTTGAAGCAACAGAAGATGATCACTGTAATTAAAATTGAATAATGCTCTAAAGGCAGTAACTATGATATTGTGTGCTGTTAAGATTCCATAAAATATATGCATTTCCTATTAAAGGACAGTCAGATCCACCCATACATCCAGATCGAACCATGCCTGTTATAGTAAATTTATTTTACCTCATATGCTACTCAACTTCACTGATGAACACAGTCTTTCAGTCATAAGAACCTTTTATTTTGTATAGTAAGTGTTATATAAGGGCATCAGCCATCAGCTAATGAACGGGTTAAGTAGCAAGCTGGATGATGATAAAGGTACAGAGGAAAAGATACAAATATATAACTAAAGAGCTTCAATGAAAATAAATGGGATTTACACTTATATGAAAGTTACTTACTTTGAAAAGAAGATGGTTAGAGATCATCCCGGCAGCACCAGAAACAGCTATGTTAATTAATTTCTTCCATAATTTTGTCTCCTCTTCCTGTTAACAATTAAAACAATGATAGACTAATGCCACCATGATTTAAATAGCTAAAAAAATGTATAAACATGGAAGATGATCAACTTGTGAAATGGGGAAAAAAATTATGTGACTGAATATTAGACTGCAAAACAAAAACAGTAAGTCGCCTCAATGATACAGTTCAACCACTAATCTTTTCCATCACAACCGATTATAAGAATCCGGTTCAAAACTATCGAGAGTGAGTAGAGTTCAACTTTATAAGTAACTAAAACTACATGACAATTAGTTAAAACAAGAATAGAAGTAATGAACATAATATAGACGAGACTGTTTATTTTGTTCAAGTTTAACCTTTTTCCCTACATGCTTACAGTTGCTTGCCTAAAATATTGCCATAAAGCAAAACTATAAATAATTAACGTATGACTAAAAGCCAAGAAATACAGAATTATTCTGCATATAAGGAAAACTATGCATATATATTTAATTTATTTCTGTTTTGTAACATACACTTCTTTTCTTAATATGGTATTAAACTAAAACTCACACTCAGATCCTGATAGCTTTGAAAGTAGCAAGTATAATGAAAAATACCGACACTAGTGATGGCACTAAGTTTGGATGTAAAATATATTACAATATTATATAAAATTAAAAAATAATAGAGGGAAAAAGCATACAGCTTGGAGATCATAGGTGAGGCAGAAGACACCATAACACTCACTCTTTCCCTTGGGACTCTCAGCTTGTACTGGTGTCTGGGTTTGAACTTGACTGAGAAGCAAAAAAAAAAAAAAAACCCCACCAAATTGTAAAGCAAGAAGATCCATAAAAAGAGTTCAAATTTCATAGTGAGAGGTAGCTTACTCTGATGTAACAGAGCATGAAATTGTAGGACTCCTGGTTTTGGGTAAAGGCGGGCGAAAAGAACGACGAAAATGATGAGAGAAACGTGAAGAAGAAGATGATGACGAGAGTGAGAGCTGTGAAGAGCGAAAACAGATTGCCGTTTCGGTACATGAAGTTGATAACTCTGTTACCGCCATTTACAGCACAGTGTAAGGTTCAGTGTGATTCAGAGAAACAGAGGAAAGGGAAGAAGGCTAAGAGTGAGTGGCAATGGAGGGAGGGGAAGATGCGTGGATAGATGGATTTGAAAAATGAGTATAAGGCCATGCAAACGACACTTGTCATAAATATCATCCAGAAATCTCAACTCCTGTCTTTTGGATTGTATATTTGGAAATCCATGGGCTGGACTAACTTATAATTCAGTCAAGTTTAATTAGGATAAGTTCAGGTTTAATTTAATATATATATATATATGACTAAACTATGTGGTTAGTACCTAAACTTTCACTTTTGATCCGATTTAGTATCTGAACTTCCAATTATTTTAAAAACATATATAACGTTTAGTTTTTATTTTATTTTAGTACTTCGTTAAGCTGACGTGACATTTTTAACTATTTTCTTCATTTTTAAATTATTATTTATATTATTATTTAATTAATTTTACGCAACTAATAAGGTGGTGGCACGTGAATTATAATATTTATTCATCATAAAATATAAATTTTAAATTATTTAAAATAAATATTATAACAATATATATTATATCATAAGTAGTTTAAAATTATATTTATTTAATAATTTAAAATTTAAACTAAAATTTTAAAACATAAAATTTAAAATTATTTATATTTATTTAATTATTAAACTTTCAATTTAAAATTATTTATTAAAATAATAATTTTAAATATTTATTTAATTATTTTTATTTCTAAATAAAATGAAAATTGATTTAATACATACAAAAATTATTATTTAAGTTATAAAATTATTAAATTAAAATTAAATAATCTTTCATTTTAGTTTAAAATAAAAAATAATTATTTATATATTTTATAAAATTAATATTAATTTATTTTGAAAATTAAATTTATGATATTTATTTATGATAGAATACAAGTTTTAAAATTAATTAATTAATTATATTTGAAATTATAAGGATAGAATATTAATTTTAATTTGATATTATTATTTATTTACTTAAATAAACAAATAAAATAATAATTTTAAATAATTGTTTAATAATTTTCTTATTTCTAAATAAAATTAGAAATTATTTAATTTTAATTTAATATTTTTATAAGTTAAATAATAATTTTAGTATGTATTCTAATGATTTTCTTTTATTTTATAGTGATAGTTTAATATAAGTTAAATCTATGCTTCGGCAAATTACTACCTATGTGATGCTTGGCCCTGATGGTTGGGCGATTACCTTTTTTCCAAGGTCTCCCAGATTCAATTCCTGGTATTGTCACATTTAAGGAGAGTTTTCCTTTGTTTTATTTCTAATATGGTGGTCACCACCTTATTAGTTGAATTTAAAATTGATTAAATAATAATTAAAAATATCACATTGGCTCTACCGGTTTTAACGACAGTGTACTAAATTGAAACAAAAAAATGAACGTTAGGTACGATTTTAAAATAATTGGAAGTTCAGGTACTAAATCAGATCAAAGGTTAAAGTTTAGGTACTAATGGCGTGGTTTACCCTTTTATTTATATTGAGTAAGTACAAGGTAGTATATGATTGAAGATAACTCTAAAAAACTCTCAACCATTTAACACTTAAAGCTCGCATCCCTGATATTTATGATGCTTGAATCCAAGACCTCAAGGGAAAAAAATATTATGGCACTTGTTGATGAAAACATCTATATTGTGACGGCTATAAGCGGTTCATTTTTTTTATTTGAATGAAAAGTCGTAGTTAATTATTCGTATTAGAATTACATGTGGTTAGCATCATTTGGTTTAGTAAATCTCAAGAATCCCAAAAGTAAACTTCAGGAGGAAGAAGAAAAAAGAAATCCCTTACTTAGTCTTGATCGAGGGTTTTATGATAACTTGTAATTGTATGTGCTTAGAATCACGATAAATACTTATAGATTGATCGGTTGAATAAATATGATCATGAAACAATATATTTGATCTTACAGATTATGCAAACCTGATGATAGCCATATTAAAAAATATATAAAGAGAAAATGATTGATTAAAACTTTGGATTTGTGGGGAGTTTGCAATTTGGGGAGAATTTATTCTCTTCCATGATGTATGATGTTACGGTCCTTAAAACATCTATTTGAAGATAAGAATTGAGTGGGTAAAAAACATACCAACAAGCTGTTTGATTTTTATATGTACAACGAATTATTGGACTAAACCAATACTCCAAAGTCGTGTCTCTATCTCATTATTGATTTTTGGCGTCACTTTTAACTAGGTGTTACTAGAGATGTGCTTAAACCCCTTGAAATTTCTTTGTCAAAAGCCCCATATTATACCAACACAAGAAAATTACACCTTCGCATGCTATTGTCATTGAAGGTTCTATCGCCCTTTAGTATCATTTTCTTTTTTTAATTCTGTTACCACATGTGAATCGATAAATTTGTGAACCTTAATACCGCCTGCGTACATTAGGAAAATACCATGTTTCAATTAAGCATACTTATTGATTTCTTTATGCCACACTAAGTTTGAGACTTAGTGTATGTATGTTTTATTCACATATAGGTGAATCGAAGGGATCGTGACTAGTCAGAACAGTTACATCACTTATCAAGGGCAACCATAAGCATTCACAATAAGCAAGTTTTCTTTTGTGTCTTTGGAGAGTATTAGTGGAATGTATACATGTGATAGTTAAAATACTTGACATTGGCTAGTCATTTCATTTGAGGATTTGTAATGGTCCCTAAAGACCCTTATTTGAATACTTTGGTATTGATAGAGGCCTTCTTGGCATGCTTAGATTATATTAGGGGTGGTTAAGTTTAATGGTGTTGGGTATCTACATTTTACCATTAAAATTTAGAACTGTGATTGAAATTTAGCTTTATTTTATTCTTTTACTAACTAATACGATGATTAAATTGGTTCATTTAATACTAAAGGATCTAGTTTGAATGTCTCTATAATATAGGGGTTAAATCAATACAATGCTTATAATAAAAGGACCTGATATGTATTTTCACCAATAATTTTTTAACCTTTAAATCGGAGTTAATTACTCTTTTTTTGATTAAGAGTTAATTACATTTAAATACACTCAAACTATAACCTTTTGGATATTGTAACAGCGGTATCAATACAATTAATGTTCAATAAGATTTTTATATAAAATTAAATAAATGAAAAATATAAAATTATTAGAACGTTCGTACTTCCCGAAGAGAATAAAATAAATAGAGTATATCGAGGAGAGCATCCTCTATTGGGATTAACTAAACTTACATCATTAATATTGGGTTTATCGACCACCACTATTACATATATCCTAAACTAAACTAAAAGTTTATTAAAGCCTTTTGCTTTGGCTTAGCAAATTAATCAGAAGAAAACGAAAAACATGTCAGGAAAAGAGTCTAGGGCCGTCCCCATCAAGGAAGAATCCGGCAATTCTCGGCCTCCGATCAATCGGAGTGGCTTTGATTCGAGCTCCGGAATTTATAGTTCGGTCCATCAACTTCCCGACCATCTCAAAGTTCCCTCTGATCCCAACCTTGACATTGTTTCATTTGTGTTATCTCAGTTCCCTCGTCCTCATGTTGCCGAATCAAAACTCGCATTCATTGATTCGGCAACAAATCAGCACCTCACATATGCTCAACTTCATCGATCGGTCCGATCGCTTGCCGGCGGCCTTTACCACCTCGGAGTCTGCAAAGGTGATGTTGTGTTCCTTTTGTCCCCTAACTCACTCTTGTACCCAACAATGTGTCTTGCAATATTCTCAATCGGTGCAATACTCTCACCTGCTAATCCGATCAATACCCCTTCGGAGATAGCTAAACAAGTTCTCGACTCCGGTGCTAAGCTCGTGATCTCAACTCCTGAAGAGCTACATAAATTCGAACGAATTCGAGTGCCTACAATTGTCACATCAAAAAAATAAGGATTCGTTATCTATAGAAGAATTGATTGAATGTAACGATCCACATGAAATACCCAAAATTACGATCAAACAATTCAATACCGCAGCTATATTATACTCTTCGGGTACCACCGGAAAAAGCAAGGGTGTTGTATTAACACATTCAAATTTAATAACAACGGCTAGACTTGTAAGATGGTTTGCAGAAGGAACATTATCTACAAACGATATATTTTTTGGGATTCATACCCTTTTTTCACATATATGGACTCGCGTTTTTCGGGTTCGGGTTATTGTGTTGCGGTATAACGAATGTGTTGATGCAGAGATTCGATTTCCAGGAAATGGTGAAGACGATTCGGGTTCATAAAATTAACAATGTGGCTGCAGTCCCCCCAGTGGTGCTTGGCCTGGTGAAACACTGCAAAGGCGATAGCAGCTTGGCAACGCTGAGAAGGATTGGGTCAGGGGCAGCACCATTGAGCAAGGAGTTGACTGAAGCATTCAGGGCACAGTTTCCATGGGTGGAGATGAGACAAGGATACGGGCTAACCGAAAGCTGCGGTACCGCGACGGGGTTCGTTTTTGATGACGAAGCCAAGGCTCATCCAGGGTCATGTGGGGCATTGTTGCCGACTTTTAGTGCCAAGGTGGTCGATATCGAAACCGGTTCGGCTTTGCCACCTTACAAGGAAGGAGAGCTATGGTTAAAAGGGCCTTCAATCATGAAAGGGTACTTAAGAAACGAGGAGGCAACGAATGCAACGTTGGATAAAGATGGGTGGCTTAAAACTGGGGATCTAGGTTATTTTGATGAGGAGGGTTTTGTTTATATTGTTGATAGAATAAAGGAGCTTATCAAGCACAATGGGTATCAGGTAATTTGATTTGAATCTCTTTTGTTGTAGCTCTAATTTGAACAGCAGAGTTTTAGGTTTGATGTTGATTGTGGCAGGTTGCACCAGCAGAATTGGAGGCACTGCTTTTGACCCATCCCCATGTCCTGGATGCAGCAGTTATACCGTGGGTGCCCTTGTGGAGCTGCTTGTGCGTTTTAAGTATTTGCATGTTTAATATTTGATCACGTTTTTTTGTTTTGTAGGGTTGAACATGAAGAATCAGGGCAGATACCAATGGCGTATGTGGTCAAAGCAGCTGCTTCTCAACTCACTGAGGAACAAGTTATCCAATTTGTAGCTGCCCAGGTTTCATACTTTTCATAGATATATATATTGAATGAATGAAAATAGATATACGAGTCTCAAATTTAGTCAAAATAAAGCCGGGTTAAAAATGAGTAATTCTGCTGCGGTGCGACAACTTAATTTAAGGAGGCTTTCAACCTAAAATATTATCCTATTCAATCTAAAAAATTCTATAAATTTGTAACATTTTCGGTTACAACAAAAAATATTACATTGAAGGGAGTGGTACTTATAACCAAAAAAAGCTATACAAATTAGAATTTAATATTTTCGATTTCAACCTAAAATGTTATTATGTCAAACCTAAAAAATTACGCTCTTAATAAGATTTTTTTATTGCACTCAGTGTTTATCATTTTTTAATCTTAACAAATTGTATCATATAATTTCTGTTAAACAATTAGTTATTAATAGCTAAGATTGGTAAGTACTATTTCTTATATTCACCCTTTCTTTCTATTAATGTTACATATAATTTAGGGTAAAGTATACAAATGGTCACTAAACTTTTCAAATGCTTGCATTTAGGTCCCCCCGACTTTTAAAGCTTGCAATACAGTCACCAAACATTTAGTTCTCGATTTATATAATTTACCCTAACGGCAGTGAGACGGTCGTTACGCCGAGGACTATATTGCAAACGAACTAAATGTTTAGTGACTGAATTGCAATTTTTAAAAGTTAAGAGACCTAAATGTAAATGTTTAAAAAGTTTAGTGACCATTTGTACACTTTACCCTATAGTTTAATACTTTTAATTCTATAATTTTTTAATGAGGGTTGAATTAATAAAAATAGATGGTTCATATTATTTTAATATTTTTAATGAGCATATTCTCATTTCGTATTATTAATCTCAACTGTCTATTTTTAATCAACCAACAATTCTAAAAGGATATAAAATTAAAAAAAATTACACGATGTGAACAAATCCAATCTCATATATCTATAACTATTAAAAGAATAAAAACACATTATAAAATCATAATTTTTTTAATATTTTATGTTTAGTTACTTGCAAAAAAAACATTTTCTTGAATAATTTGTAATAATATTTATACTATTTAGAATCCTTTCTACTTATAAATCAAATGATTTTAACGCTTAAGCATATTCAATCTCACGATCTCATGTGTACTGTACCAATAAAAAATATCAATCAAACTAAATTCGATCAATATTTTTAGATTATTTTTAAATGTTAAAGTATCATTAAAATGTGATTTTAAGTCTAAAAATAAAATATTAGGATATAAAATTTTAAATAATATAATGTAATTAAAATTATTTTTTTAAAATCCGGACATAATCGAATATTACATTTTAATTCTTTGAAAATTCTCAATTCAATTAATCAGTTGTAACAGCATAAATCATAATTGGTGTTGTAATTAAATGTGCAGGTGGCTCCTTACAAGAAAGTGAGAAGGGTTGAATTTGTAGATGCCATCCCAAAGTCAGCAGCTGGCAAAATCTTGAGGAAGCAGCTCATCTTACAATCTCAATGCTCTATTCGCTCCCAGTTGTAATTTTTATATATTCTACTAATTAAATTTTGGATCAACTACACATTTAGTACCAAACTATTACTTTTATTCCATTTTGGTACTTAATCTTTCTTCAAAATCATTCATAAAGTTTAGTTTAATTTTCATTTCGGTACCATCGTTAAAATCTTAACGGAACTGTTGTATGTGGATTTTTTACGGGTAAATTACAAACGATAGTGACCAATGACAGTGATGAGCAGTGACCTGCATGTGGACTTTGACTAGATTCAAGGGTTAAATTAATATTTTATCTAAAATCTAAGATCAAATTAATATTTTATATAAAGTCTGAGATCAAATTAGCATTTTGTCTGAACTACATGAGAAAAGTTAAACTTGAGTCATTTTTACTAACGTACCTAGTCAACAAACTTATTAGAGTTAATGACCTAGTGACCAAAATAAGATAGATCGAAAACAAAAATGACCAGAATGTAACGTTTTAAAAATCGATGACCACAATAAGACATACTAAAAACATAAGGGATAACCAATGTAAAATACCCAATTATTTATGATATATGTTTAATTACATATATATTAGATGATATTACATTCAAGTTTTGAATAAAAATGTTATTTTTTATAATTCATTCAATAAATAATTTTAGGTGAAATTTATAATTAAATCTATTAATCCTATGTCTGATCCTTAAGCAACGAATTTTTTATTTTATTTAAAGATCATATAAAAATAAAGAAAACAAATTTATTAAAATAATACATATTATATCTTTAAATGAAAATAATTTAATAATCTTCAATTAAATTAATATTAAGTTAACTATTAACATTAAAATCAGATTTTTAAATGTGATATAGATATAGATATTTTCATAACTAAGAGATATCGCATTCACGTGTGAATATTTCGGACGTGTAGTTTTGTGGTATTGTGAAAGTTCAATTATCGAGGACCAGCGGCGCAATTTAGCCACTCTCACAAGGCAAATCTCTTATCCCTCAAAAAAAAAAAGGCTGAAAACCAGACCAGTGCCGAAGCTTCTTCACTAAATATCCGCTCTTTACCACCAGTTTACCGACGTCGGTTCAAATATGGTTTTAGGTTCTTCTTCTTCTTCTACACTCTCTTCAGCGCGCCTAACCTCCCTCTCTTTCCCTTCCAAAATATCCATCAAAACCTCAAAAAAACCGCTTCATTTGCAAACGCCTTCGTATCGGTGGTTCCGCCTTAAGGCCTCAGCCACCAACTCTCCCCCAAAAGCCCGTTTCGTCGCGCGTCGAAAGGAGTCCGTTTTGATTCGGCAGCTGAACCGCCCTCTCAGTAAGTAATGTTGCACAATTTATTTTTTTTGATTAATAATTTCTCCTTATTGTGTTCTTTTACTTGTTTTTTTTGTTGCTGTTTGTCACTAGGTTTATAAAATTATTTATGCATTTAACTATAAATAATAAATAAAAGAAAAGAAAAAAGCTTAAATTGTTAAAAAGAAAACTCTGTTTTGAAAGTCACGGTTATTTTTATTTAATTAACATTTTCCCATCTAATTATGCATATAAAATTGAATGAATTATCGGTATAAGTTCTTCAATTATTCTAATAATAATTTGTTTAAATGTCTGGAAATAGAATAATTGATTAAAATAATTAATTAAAAATATATTATTATATATATCGTGCATCTTTCTTTCTTTATTTTTTAAATTCTTTATAAATTATTGTTTTTTATTTTATTTTATTCAAACAGGTTACATTCTCTTTTGTTTTGATTAGCAAAAGTGACATAATGGAATCTTTAATTTCAATTTCTGCGTTATTATTTTAATTGGGGTTTTGCTTTGATGTTGCAGTTGAGTATATGAGCTTACCAGCAAGCCAATACTCAGTGCTCGACGCAGAAAGGATAGAGAGGGTAGATGATAATACATTTAGGTGTTATGTGTATAGGTTTAAGTTTTTCAATTTCGAGGTTTGCCCTGTTTTGCTTGTAAGAGTTGAAGAACAGCCTAATGGTTGCTGTATTAAGCTCTTGTCTTGTAAGGTAATCTCGCTGTTTCATTACATCGAATTTGTTCGCTTTCTTATATATTGAGTTGAGGAAGAATTTGTGTAGGCACTGGGTAATCTGCTTGCAAGCTTAAATTTGTTGAAAAATACTTTGCATCTTATCTTTGTTTTTAATTCATTTTGTAGCTTTCATATAAAGTATGGCCACTTTTACATCTTGAAGTGTTAAAGTTCTTGGAATGGTATCTTAATCAGTGTAATTAGGGGTTTGGACATACTGCTTAGAAACACTCTTCAGATATGGAAGGACGGTTAATGTATATACATTCTGGATTTTGATAACTATTCTCTCCACTGATTGCAGCTGGAGGGTTCGCCCATCGTGGTTGCTCAGAATGATAAGTTTGATGGTAAGCATCTTTCCGGGCTTTTCCATCCAAAGAAAGATATCATATTTAGTTATCGGTGATGTAAGTTAATCAGGATTACATCATACCCATTCGTACCATCTTTTTAATAAAAAAGAAGAAAAAGTTATTATATGATGTTTCCTTGTGATTTTACATCAGCAACAACTAACAAGGATAATTCCATAGTGACTTTTGTAACCGGAATTGCATCATCAGTTTTTCAATATCATGTGCTAAGGTTGATCAAGGATAATTCCATAGTTGTTGGCAATTCTTAGTGTGATTTTAGTTTAATCTTGTTGTTTGATGCTTTCTCTGTTATGTATTAAGCCATGGTTCATCAAAGAAGTATATAATTGATTCATAGCTGAGGTGGCACCAAGCCATCATTTGAAGAACACTAGTACTATGTTTAAAAGGCCATTAGACCTGAGAAACTTGATCATCACAAGGAAAAGACATAACATGTTCATAATCTGTTTGTCAGCTATGCCTAAGTTAAGGTCCAGTGGTTCTTTCTGGTATGATTTAGCACTGATTTGATATGAAATGCAGCTTCTATGGTCAATCGAATATCTTGTGACACCAGCGGAAAGGACTCATCAGTACAAGAGCTTACATCGGATGCAGTTATCGAGGTAGTGCTTGCAAATGATTCTTTTTCCAATATTACCATGTCATTTCACAAAGGCATATATTTCTTGCAGTAATTTGCAATTCTATGTTTAATCTAGGTTAACATCGAGGTTCCTTTTGCATTTAGACCATTTCCATTGGGAATGATTGAATCAAGTGGGACCCAAATCCTTGAACAAATACTCGGGTTGATGCTGCCCCGTTTTATGGCTCAGGTTTGTAAGATATTACTTAAAATTTCTTTTTTCACTGATTAAGAATAGTTGATATTTTGTGTTTGTCCATTATACTTGAATTATTGCTATGTGTCTTCATTTTTCTTAAAATGTATGTGCCTGTGTCCCACACATGGATACAAGGCTATGAAACCCAAGTATTGTCCATGTACATGCAAAAACTTAGAAAATTCTGACCATACCCATGTCAAACACATAACCGTATTTGACACACCTGAGTCTGAAGAACACATGGCCTACACAAGGAGGAATGTGGGTACGGAAATTTAGATTATATGCTGTTAAGAATGCAAGACTACCATTTTAATTGTGTTTAAAGGTTAAGTTTGATTGTTGGTGCAAGGATGCAATATATTAAATAAGAACAAAAACTATCAGCTAGCGTTTGGGATTTAAGATTTTACAATTTGGATTTGGATTTCAAGAGTGTAAATTGGGTGAGAAAGCGCGTACAAATGTAACATCCATGATTAGTTCTCAAATCCATGAACTTGTTGAATTCCTATTTAGTAGTGAATTTGAAATTTCTAAGAAATCTATGAATTTGAAAAATTCATGCTTTTTATGCTTTTCAAATATATATTATATTAAAACCCAACTTAATTCATAATGTTTGCATTCCATCCTTACAATTTATATAGCAAATGAAATCTAAATTCATATTTCTAAAAATTACATTAATGTTTTCTACTTTTTTTTAGTTACTTCTTTTCTAATGGTAGAAATAATTTTAGGAAATTATTCTTGGATTTTCCCTTCAGAATATTATAAGCTTGTAGTTAATGGGAATCCTCTACAAATTCAGTGGCGGAATTACATTAGGGATCCCTTTGGTTCGAAAATATTTTCTCAGCAGGTTTCAGTTTTGGAATGAGTTTTACTTAAACAAATCACGCATGTAATTTATTGCATGAACGGCAATGGCATTGACAAATATCTGGTGGTTGAAAATGCTCCAAACTATTCTTCCCTCATTCGGTGTAGTCATCCTTGCTGACTCTTAGTCCTTGTTTCTTGGACGGGGGTGTGAGCATTAGATTTTCAACATTGTAAAGTTTTCCTACACATTTGGAAAATTCTTGGAGGGTCATAGCTCCATATCAATGTCTTGATATGCATCAAACGCAAGTGTCGACTCAGGTACATTAAGAAGCATGAAGAGACAAGAATATAGCTCGCACTTTCTGTAAGTTATTAAAAAAAAGTAGCAATACAGTTCTCTTCTTATAAAAAAAAGGCAATACAGTTCGCTGGTATGATTTATGTCCAACGTAGGAGATTGAACTATACGGATTTGTAGGTTGTGAGTGGTCTTATACATCATGTAATGCTGTCTGTCTCGAAATGTTTGCTTCAGAAAGATAAACAAGGTTAGAGATAGATTGCAGAAAGGGAGAAGAATAATGCATTGCAGAGAAAGAGAAAAACTAGCTAAAAATGGTGGCTGCTAGAGGTTATAGTGAAGCAGGATAAATGACTATCATCCAAATATATACCGGCTGAGTCCTTTAAAGACTCCTAACTGAATATATGAGACTGCGAAACACAGTTTTGCTCCAACTTCACTTTGATAATGCAATAGACTATTGTCACGGGCCATATATTTGGGTTCGTGATGTGTACGCAAAAGTCCGCAGATGAGGTTTTGTGTGCAGTATTGGATTTGCTTAGGCCATCAAACTTGGCCCTATCCTTGGAAGATGAAACATATTCCATTTAATTTAAGATAATTACTTAAATTAAAGGGATAATGTTGAGATAATATTTGATTTGAATTCGAATTCCTTAGATAAGATAAGATACGGAGTTTGTTAGATGAGATTCAATCTCAGCCGTTGATGTAATTTAATCTAGGCCATTGGATCTAGGAGAGCTCAACTATAAATAGAGGCTTAGATAGTCCTGACAGTGTTTACGCTTCCGCATATTGTAGTGAAGACTTACTTAGGCACCCATCCAACAGAAAAGTGTGTAAAACTGCACGGATCAATTAGTCGAAACTAACCTTGTGACACTATCATCCAAATATTTATAGGAAATTATTTGTAGAATCATAGAAACAGCTACTGACCGTTAACGTGATGTTAAATGCTACATATGTGTTCATCTATACTAATTCCAACTTTCAAATACTTGGAAAGAAATGAATATAGCTATGTCGGGTACATACCCATACCTATCACTCCTAATGTGCTGTTGCAGCAACTGGTGGATCGAATTCTTTTCGGTATCGGTTTCTGTAAATGGAAATATAAAAATATGATGAAACGAGTCTAACTTAAAGCAAATGTTTTGCATTTCAATGGTATGGTTCTGATATCCTTTTTTGTGCAGCTTGTTAAAGACTACCGAGCATGGGCTTCTGGTGATGCCTCAAGGCAACCACTTGGAACCGGAGAGATTTGAAATCACGCGGTTAAACTCTCTTTGAAATTGTCATCTTAGATACACCAATTTAAGAATATTCTTTGTATACATCTGGAGAGGTTTGTTTCACATAATGTAAAATTATATTTTTGGAATAGGATTGTTGGAATCGATATTACTTGTTTGGCATGATATCTTCTTTAGTTTGTTTGGCAAGATATGATGTAGGATTTTAATGCCAATTATGGAACATACAGCGGAAAAACGTGCAAAATAGAAAACAAAAACAAGGTAATGTAAAAGATTAAGTAGAAATATACATAATTAAAAGCATGATATAGAAACAATTGATAATTTAATGGGAGATACTTGATCAGATAGAACTACTGCTCAAAGATCATAGAGCTAAAAGAAACATGGAAATGCAGCAAGATAGATATTTATAACAAGTTGAGTTACAATATACAGAATAAATGATCGACTCAAAAATACAAATGTAGGTTAGTAAGCCCTTAACTATCGAATCTATCCCCTAAGATGTCAGGAACCCATGACAACTAAATGTTAAAAAGAGTGATAATAAACAATCAAAATGTGGACGTTACCATCCAATATATGAAAGAACCACCATAATGTGGATGTTACTAACCCATATATGGATGAACCATCAGAGTATGGATATTACAAATCAAAATATAATTGATCCACCGGTGTCGATGTTACCAATCAAAGTATTGTCCTTGCGAGATATACACCAATCCCTCTAATGGCGTTAACGGCGCCTTCACTTGTTGACCAGACACCTCTAGAATATATTGAATCGACAACGGTCGATAAGACATATTTTCTTTCGCAAGTCTTAGGTCGAGTCGCCTTATGGTATTTCCTTAACCAAAGAGAGGAGATTTTGTTATACCTCCAGAAATGATCCCCAGAAACTTCCAAACCCCCAATCAACATGACCTACAAAAACTGCTAACTAGATCTCTCTACTCGTTGAAACCCCCAAAAAGACTGCACCCTCCAGGCACATGCCTCTTAATCTACTACAGTGCAAGGACAAGACCTTTGATAGGTCCTCATGACCTACCAGAGTGAAATCCAAGATCTAACGATCAAATCTATTTAGTCAACTGACCTACGAATAACTATAATTACCCTAAGTCTAACACCACCAGACTATGATCACTATAAATACCCCTCAACACAACTGAGAGAAGGGATGGAACCTTTAATGCTCCTGTACAATCTTCTTCTTTTGCTTCTTCACCAAATACTGATCAACAACCGCTCTCTCGCCGACCATGATTTTTTGTCCAAACCAAAAAAAAAAATGAACCATCAACGGTTGACGAGTTCAATTTATTCTCATCAATAGTACTTATTTGTGAATCAATGATATAACTATTTTATAACATGTACATATACCTATACCTATAAGATATATATATTTTGTAATTAAATTACATAGAAAAATAGGGGTATTAAGAAAATATTATATCGAAACACATAAAAAGATTATTAGACCGATAAATCTATTCCTCTTAACTTGAATCCAACTTAGACTTGTTAAAAGCTGGGAAAAATTAACACAAATTAGACAATATTTAAAATAGATTTTTTGTAGTTATAGAAACCTAATATAATAAGCTTAGTCCGAATTGAGTAGGGCTTCAAAATTTGAAGAGTTATTTGATTTCGTCACAAAAATATATAAGAACTAATGGATTATTATTCGATATATTAATAATGAAATTTACTTTTAAATGAATATATAATAAATTGTTAAGATTTTCATATATTCAAATTAAGAAAATTATTTTTTAATTAGGTCAAACTTAAATAAATAATTTGTTTTTTTACTATTCATATATTAAATAATGTCACATATGAAAATTAAAGACAGTTTTGACATTTTAAATTAAAGAAAACAATTATTAAGAAAAAAAGAGAGTAAAGTATGGATCTAAATTAGTTTTAACCATGAGAATTTAAAATAGTTTTTAAAATAAAAAATTTAAATCCATTAATATATTATTTTTAAATATTAAGAAAAAATAATTTTTAAAAAATGAAAAATGAAGTACGAAATTGAAATCATTTTGAAGTACACAAATTTAAAATTGCCAGTTAAAATTCTTAATATTTGAAAATACTTAAAATTACATCAAGAATGTATAAAACTAACCATTGTTGAATGACACGTGGTTGCCGGAATGAAGGACAACAAAATATTTACAGACTTAATATTTATATGTGATTTTTTTAATATATATTAAAAATTCACATCACCAAAGCCTTAAGCCGTCTGAATATTTACAGACTTGTTTGAATCCCATTGGTACGTTTTGTTTGCAGATAAAGTTAATGAAGAAAGGCACCTTCTCTTAGAGATGGAATCAAATCATCGAAAGCAGCATTGAAGAAGGCATCAACTTCATCCCTGTTAACGATGTCGAAGAATTGAAATTGTGCAGACGGGTTTCTCTTGCATGAAACACCTCTCCTCTTTGGTGCCGGCGGACATGAAACAACGGCTGGGATCTTGTTTTCTTTGGAGATGGTGTTTTGCACTCGTCGGATGATTCCATCTTCGTCCTGGGCGATCTTAAGTCATGCAAAACTTCAGTAGCTACAGACATTTTCTTTCTGTTTTCTGAAATTATGAAACGAAGGTGGAAACTAATGGAGATGCTGGGTTTGTTTAAATAATGGAACATAAAGAAGACGTGAGACGGGAGGTAAGAGAATAATAATATTAAATGTTGTATTGCAAGGAATTACTGCTACTCTTGTGCTGGATTTGTTTTTTGAAGTTCATATGGAATAATAATTATTTGTTTTTTTTAGGTATATTGTTTGTCTTCTCGAAATAATGATTTTCACTAGTCAGAATTTTGAACAAATACCCTAAATCCTGTAAACCTAAAAAAATCCTCAAACATCTAAAAATGATTAAAAAAACTTAATTTCATCGTTTTGAATCGATTTTGAGTGGGTTTCGTGAAAAACTAATCACACGAGAAGAATGAATAGTGAAATATGAACATTTTTGTTCCAATATTATCGCGAAAGACTATCGATGACGATCGAAAAATGTAATGCCAAAAATATTATTTAAAAATTCAGTGACAAAATTGATATACCCCTAAAGTTCAATGTCTAAAACAATATTGTTTTAGGTATCAGAACAGTTATACCAAAATAACGTCGTTTTAGGGTGACATACCATGTCAGCAACTATAAGTCATATCATCATCTCATTAATGATTTAATGACGAAGTGACATAATTGAATGTAAACTTAAAGTTTAATATTATAATTAGCAAAATTAAAAGATTAATGATATATATGAGCCAATGGACAAAGTTTAATAATATCTAAAGTAATTTCCTTTTATATTATTATTTTTCTGTTTTAATTCTTTTAAAAAATTATTTTCTAAGGAAGACAGTAGTTCGAAGTTAAAGAAATAATTTCGGATATTGGGATCTTATTTCTTATGCTTTGTCTGATTAAATAAGTATTAATATAATGAAATTTATAGTTATTACATAAAAATTTAATAATTTGATATAATGTAAAGAAAAAATAATATATAAAATTTAAGGAATAATCATACTCACTTTGAGAATATCATTACTCGGGATTGGTGTATCAGTTTAGCATAATATGCTTACTACTTCACTTCAAGTAATATTCTATGACAGACCAATTATACTAAACGATTCCCACATGTATACAAAAACGTTTATTCCATTTACATTTAATGTCAATGCCCACTTACAACCAACAATTTTGGTGGTAAAAGAATTATTATTATTATTTGAGGTTTCGAATTTGAGCATTATGAATGCAAGAATGTGAACGTTTAATGTTACATTACACTATAGTCGGGACCATTTGTATACATTACCCTTAACCTAAACGAGTGTTTAGAACCTAGGTTTCCCAAACCTAGTCTCAAACTTTAAAAACCAAGTAAGATTCATTAAGTTTATTTAAATCTCACAAAGTTTTGTAAATTTAGTACTTTTAAGTTTTAAACTCATATTTAGTTCTTATCAATTACTAGTTCAAATCACTTAAAGATAAATTGTAAAAATTTCTAATTAACCTAAATTAATGAGTGCTTAGAACCAGCTGAGTTAACGAGTAATTACATTAACATTAAGGGTGCAATTATGCAATAGAAACAGCTGAATAATAACGTAACAACTATGTAACAACCAAAATTAAGGTTCAAAACGTTCCAAATCATACCTGAATTAAAATTGCAATAATTTGGATTTAAACAGTCACCTGAATCATGAATGTGATTAAAAACAATTTAAAAATTAAATAAAATTATGTTGTAATTAATTTTCTGGAACACTCAATAATGTCAAAAAAATGGTAACACACACTCAATAATGATGGATTAAAATCATTAAATGATGGCATGCATGATACACTTGCCTATGTTATTGGTAAAATTATACATGATAACTCAGACAAGTCAACTGTCGTATAGTTAGATTATGAAAGTATTATGTTAGAATTCACAGTTAAGTGTTATTTCCAAGTCCAACGACAGTTCAATAAGTTTTGCCTGCCTATGAAGCCTCTGTTAAAGATCTAGGCTGCTGTATCTTAACTCTGTGCTTGATCTCCTCTTTAAGCTCACTTACAAAGCTGGAAACGAAGTAGATCTCTTCCAAAGAAGGGTTATGGTGTAACATGTATGGCTTATGCTCCTCAAAATTGTCATGATATTCTTTGATTGATGTCTTTTGAAAGAGCTTGTTGAATTCCTCTATGATGTTTGTAAATGCTTATCACAGAATCTATGGCATAACTCAGTAGCAAAATCCTCCCAAGATATCCTGTTCTTTTGCATTTTATACCCATCAAACTATATTTCGGCCCTGCCAGCCAAGTACATAGCAACCATTTCTTCTTTATGATTTTCAAGAATATCAAATAGTGCAAAATACTTGTGACATTTCTTCACCCAACACCTTCAAACATTTGAAGCTCTATCTTGGGTTTAGCAGTATGTGCATGGAGTATTTTGCTGAAATGGTCTTTCAAACAGAAATGATTCATCATTATCTCTAGGTTCAGTAGAACTAGCTTCAATTCTTGTTCTAGGAGGATTGTATGACTTACTCTGATTGTGAAACAAAATTGGTTTAGAAGTCAGAATATCAGGTTCTTCAGGCTTAAAGGAGTACCTTTCATATTCACCTATGATAGTGACTTGCTCTAATTACCAAATTGTCAGTTGGACTGTGATGATTATGGAAACTTAAGAAATTGAGAAAGGGATTTGAGAGATTGAAAGAATAAGTAAAAGAAATTCAGAAAATTCATTCATTGATTGCATAAAAAAAACTCATTACGACTGTTGGTGATATACATATCTCATAAAAAAATTTATTTTTGTCTTTACTTGCAACTCCTCCTTCAGTTGTTCATGTGGTGTTGATTTTGGGTCTACCTTTTAGGTCTTGCTTCCATATCAGAGAACCATGGCCTTGCTGATGTTGGGCTCCCTGATGCCAATTCAATTCTCTCCCACTGGGCCGTTAGTTTCTGAGTCCGCTCCTGGTTGATCCATATTTTGTAATCCTCATCTAACTTTAAGGAAACATCATCGTTTCTTTTAATCATAATCCCCGTCAATTTCTTTGATGCATTGGTTTCTTTTAATCCTCATTTAATACAAAAATAAAGGTCGGCGCTTTGTTCCCAAAACAAAAATGGCGGTGGCAATGAAAGAAGCTGGAAGATTGATCAGGAAAGCTCTACATCATCGCCAGATATTCCAGTCACTCATCCCTTCAAAGTTGGTCTCACGCCGATTCATTTTCTATTCCTCTAGAACGCCGTCGTTGCTGGTGGTCGGAAACCCAGGCTCCATCCTTTCCTCCGATATCCAGTCTCCCTTTTCCCTTCTGAATTGGATCCATTTTAGAGGTTGATCAGTCTGTTCCGTTTCCATTTGCTTTTGCTTTTGCTTTCTTTCTAGTTAAATTGATTGGCTTTCCCCCCCTATTGTGGGTTGCTTTGCAGGGCAAAGGAGAAGCATGTTTATCCAAACTCAATCCACACCCAATCCTTCATCTTTGATGTTCTATACAGGGAAAGCGGTTATGGAAGTCGGGAGTGCCGATTTCCCAAATGCTCGTTCTGCCATGAATTCCCCACTGGCCAAGGCCTTGTATGGTATTGACGGTAAGAGTGAGCCCAATAGATTAGAGTAATTATTCATCTAATTTTGTTCGAGTGGATACTGCTTAGTCTCACACATGTACATGATAACTGAAAAATAACTAAAACGCCTTAGGACACAGATAAATTATATGATACGACATCATTGCATGAATGTATGAACGAGTTAAAATATATGCAGAAAGGATTATTATTGTCAAAATTTGTATACGTAATATCTTAAACGCTATTGGGACATGGGAAAGCACCACTACACAAATATACAGCTTGTTAGGTTTAGATAAAATAGGGCTGTAATATTGAAGTTAGAGCTTGAAAGCTCCACCTAGCAGGTTTTCTCTCATCCTATGTACCAAAAAACAAAAATTTGCTTGAGGTTTCTTTCTTATAGTGAAATCTGAGTATGTGCCAACCGCCACATGCTATATTGTAGAGTGTTACTCTTAGTTTGAGCAGTCTTAGTTCAAATCTAGGCAGCCGCAAATACCCAAAATGGAAGTCTGATTTGATGAAATCTTAAGCTGCTCAGGACTCATTTTGTTAAGCTTCAGTATTTTCAAGTAAAATCTTGATTGACTTCATGCGTGAACTTTTATTTATGCATTTTTATATTATGTATAATAAGTATATGAAATGGAAAAGTTTGGTTGGGATTTCAGATAGTGAGCCGTTTGAGAACTAGATTAAAATGCTCAAATTTAGCCCTCTAGAATACCTAGTTACATGATCTGTAATTTAATTTGATAGTTACCAAGTTGAATTTAAGTGTTTCTGAAGTAACATGCAAGCAGCTCTTGAGTAGTGTTTTTACCAAGATGAATTCAAAGCATAAAAATGATATGGAACAAAGCATATACAACAACGAGAAATATTTGATAACAAGCAAAAATTTGCTTTGGCGACAAATGTTGCTGAAAGTAGCATCACCGTTAACCTTGCATTTGATATTTCTGTTCTTTAGGCTTTAAATCTAGGGCTACAATTAAAACTTCATTTGCAACTCTGGTATAGATAAGCTGTGAGATAGATTTACAGCCAACCTTACTGTTTTCTTTGAGTTATTAAACTTTAGAAACTAGAGTCCCTATGCATCTTACTCGTATTTCAGTCTTGAGTTTCTGAATTTGACCAAGTATGTTCATGTTTATTGGAGTTGTTGAAGTTTTCTGTTGATCTGATTTAATCCATTCTTGCCTTTTTTTCTTCTTCTCCTTATAATCTTTAGCTATTTTCATGATGTTTATTCTTATTTTTTTTCCGTTTTTGAGTTTTTGTCACTGGTAAAGTAACAGAACAATCACAGGCCTTTTAAGTTGTAACAGTAATGTAGGTATTGTGTAGATTTGATTCTTAGAGAAACATTATGATCAGGAGTTGTGAAACGGATCTTGGGACTTTTGAGCAATTAACAGATTAAAACAATACCTCAGATGAATCAAGAAATAGAAATTCGATGAAAATGCCTACTATTTTCTGTTATTCGCAGTTACTTTGATTTAAAAGTCAATCTTATTGTTCTTATAAAAAAAAGTCAATCTTATTGTAGAATAGTTTTGGTAAGTGTATATTTGAATCTTGTTTCCTCGCAATGCAGGTATTACTCGAGTTTTCTTTGGATCAGATTTTATAACTGTAACAAAGTCAGATGATGCTTCTTGGGATCTCCTCAAGCCTCAAATTTTTGCTTCGATTATGGATTTTTATTCCTCAGGACAGCCATTGTTTCTTGACTCAGAAACTGCAGCAGCTAAGGACACTGCTATTCATGAGGTACTTTTTCTCACTTATTGTCACCCTGTCTTGAGATTTTTAAGATTGGATGTTTCTTGAATTTTATTATTCTTTATATGGTTAGATGTAGTTATTTCAGCTTGAGCCCCTGTCTTGTGTCTAATATTTATGTCATTGCCAATAAAAGCAGTCTCCCATTTCAATATTTAGGCATGATAATTAATTCTTCTCTCCTCTTATGTTTTAGAGGTTTAGGTTCAATTTTCACATGAGCCATGATATATGAGAATAATCTGGCGTGATAAAGAAAAGGAGTACATTTAGGGGCAAAAGGATGCAATATGTACACAAATTTGAGAGGAAAAAGTATAATTTGGCCATTTGAGTAGCATAGCAACATCACGAGCTCATTTTATTCTTAGGAGAATATCTGTGTGAACAGTGCCTTCCATTCTTTTCCAATATCTTTATTAATCAGAATAATTATCTCATAATTGCTAAGATCTTTCATAAAATCATGTAATTGGTGCCAATGCAGGATGACTCTGAAACAGTGGCAATGATCAAAGAACTACTAGAGACTAGAATTCGACCAGCAGTGCAAGATGATGGTGGGGATATTGAATATCGGGGATTTGATTTGTAAAGCTTCCTTTTACTCTTCATTTGGTTTAAATTCTTTCTAAAATATTTATGCATGCTGTATTTGTTTTTCAGAACTAGCATTGATGGAATGTTTCTTGTTTGCTTCTGTAGAGATACAGGAATAGTCAAATTGAAAATGCAAGGAGCATGCAGTGGTTGCCCAAGCTCATCTGTCACTTTGAAGTCTGGCATTGAAAATATGCTAATGCATTATGTACCTGAGGTACTACTTGATAACTATCATATTACTTCATTCGCAATGAATTCGGTATGAAGCTGGTTGGAGAGAATAGGATAAATGACTGGTATTTGCAAAGAACGGTATTGCTTTTGCTTTTTTTGTGTTTAGTGCACAGAGGATCAAGGAAGCGAAACGGATAAGTTTTATGCAATACATGCTTTATGTAAATATGATTAAAACTATAATAGGATCATACAAATTGCTATATCATTATATACCTAATAATTCTTTTTAAAAAAAGCACATGTGATTCTTAGTAAAGTAAGGGAAAAGTCAAATCGTACCAAGTTTTCCCCCTTTCAGTTGAATTACCACTGCGTATTCCATTCAGTTCTATCACTCCCATCGCCCTTCTTTGGATGATCTTATCAAGTAACCGTCATCTCATTCTCATTTTAATCCCTTTGTTCGAATAACTAGACAGTAGTAGAAGAATCTATCATTATCTAGTTTGAGACCATCGTAGGTTGGTAAAGCTACATAAGAAGTGCAGGACATTTTAATTTCAGTTATACTACCCATGGCATATGATCAAAGCGTCTGGAGAAACGATTTGTCTGGTCCGTGTCCTAGTGCATGTGATGTTGCAGGGTTTTATTGCCCATCAATGATTAGCTCTAGAAACTTGAGTTTATTTTTGCTGTGAAGATTGCTCCAGGGGGGGGGGGATATGCTCTTGCTTTTTGGTTATCACAATAAAGCAGAAAGCAGTGACAACTATCAGGAAGGAGGCTCTGATGAATATAGCACTGGAGCTTAATTGTATTAAATGAGAACAAATCTATATGTCGGCGTCGACATTACTTCATGATGCATACTTAACTACATATATCTGCTTTAAGGAGGTTACCATGCAGTCATAACGTTTGTGAAAAGTGGGTTTACTGTTTTTCTTCAACCGAGTTCGTAATTGTGATCAGGATTTGGGTAATAATGGTGCAGGTCAGAGGTGTGGAGCAAGAATTAGATGCTGAAGATGAGGATGCTACATTAGCAGCAGGTCAGATGGAGTAGTTGAAGTTCAGTCACTCCTTTCACCTTGTCCCTGCAGTAATAATATAATTAGGAGTTTAGGAGCCTACTAATTGCAGCCTTCGAGTAGCACAGATCGAATAGTTTGCGATTTAAGTTATTTAAAGAGGGAGAATCATGTTTTCTTGTAATTTAGTTTTAGTAATGTGCATTTGAGAACTACACAGGTATATTTAATTTTGTTTTTTCAAAAAAAAAAAAAGATATAATAATATATTTAGAAACATGAATAATTTGAGGAAAGCAAAGGATCGATATGCAAATTTGATGTTAGACTTTTTAGCTGGAACTTGGAAATTGAAATGTGTCTATGTTTTGTCATTTTGCTGTACGAGATTAAGAGAGTGTTTGAAAAGTGTAATTGCTTGTAATGACATTTGTGACATGTTTGATAATCATTGTACTTGGTAAGTCTTACTGTAATTGGAGTTTTCAAGGGAAAGAGTGACAATTGGTGAAATTACATATGTAATTAGTTGTAATGTTTGTTTTTTTTTAATATTTTTTTATTCATTTATTAGATTAATGAGACAATCAAATAGGTATGAGAAATTATAATTCCTTATAATTACAAAGGATGTGATTATTGTCTTAGTAATTATATTTTCTTATAATTAATTTGAATATATGATTATTAATGGAAATAAGATTATCGAAACGGAAGATCATATGCTATTTTTGTGTTGTCCTCTTGATTCTTAAGGTTTTGTTCTGATTAATCCGGATTGATTTATGTCATACATTTGATTTTGATGAATGAGTCTCCTAGCAAGGATTTGTTGTATAGATAAGCTTTCGAATTAGAGACATGTTTACACGATACTAAGTTGCGTATCACTTGAACTAACTCCATTGGTTAAGATTATATGTTATTAATATTAAAATATTTGTTTATTGTGTATTTTTGATAATGAAATATAATATTATAGTCATTGTTTAATTAAATTTGACTTTTAATACTAAATTAAAAACTCTCACGTTATTTTATTGATTCATTTCTACATGAATTTTACATTTGATATGACAACTACGTAAAAAATATTTGAAAATAACTGTACATATAATTTGATATAATTTCACACAAACATCGTATTTTGAGTTAAATTGTTTAATTGGGATAAAAGTTGTTTTTATTGTCTGCCATCAAATTTTACTTATATTTTAATTTAGAAAAAAAGATAAAAATAGATAATGAATACGGATGAAAGAATGAAAAAAGTTAATCACAAATTATTAATTCCTTGTAGAAATTTAGCATCGTGAGTACTTTTGTTGGTAATTTTATGATTTTTTTAAAATTTTAAATTTTATAATCATCTGAAAAGCTTAAGTTGATAAACATTTAATTTCAAAAATAATATTTATTATTTATAAGTTTAATAAATAAACGATAATAGTAATCTCGTTTATACTTTCAAATATTATAACCTTATGTTACTCTCACCAAATAATGTTGAAAATTCTAAATAATAATTTGTGTTTGTCACAATCAATGTGAGTGTAAACTTAATTTAAAAACTAAAATTGAGTTGCAAAATTTAATTTGAAAATAACGAAAAATTTCAATCAAATTTGTCTACATTATTAATGTACAAGGATAGATATCAGTTGAAGTACAGTGGCCGGTGGCAAATGTGATCATTAACTCTAAAAAACAAATTAGAGTACAAATATAGTATAGTGGCCGGTGACAAATTTGATCATTAACTCTAAAAAAATAGAATACAGATATAGTCTAGTGGCAGGTGACAAATTTGATCATGAACTCTAAAAAAAATAGAGTATATATATGAGACAAAAGATGATCCTAGAAATAAACAAGAATAATAAAAAATAACTGATATTATTGTAAAAATAAATAAAAGAAAAATAAGATAAGAAATCGTTTACTTTGTAGTGATGGAATCGAATGGGAAGAATGATCGAGACTTGTATACATAGTTTTCTTAAGACGTATTCGTCTGTTTCTATGGGATAATTAATAGAATTTGTAGTCATTATCCCAGCTTTTGTAGTTTACTTATTTGTAGTCATGAAATCGAATGAGAAGAGTTATTGAGGCTCGTTTACATAATTTTTTTAAGAAAGATTCGTCTGCTCCTATGGTGCTTGAGAACGTTGATCGACTATCTGCCAAGATACAATAACGAGATGAGCACAACGGTAGTACGACTGCAGTGATCAACAAACTGTAATCGAACCTTTTTCTATCACCAAAACTGTTTGAAAGAAGAGAAAATATTTTTTTGTGTTTATCTTAGGTTTTCATGATTTAAATAAGATATCCACATCGGAAAATTATTGAAACGTTTGAATAAATGAGCTGCTAGTATATGAGAATCAAAGAATTAATAATACGTAATATTCTCATCTATTTATGCATAACATCATCCTGAATTAAGGTAACAATTGCCTAAAAATTTCTAATTAAGGAGTCATCAAATTCAATTTAATTTTATCATTTTCGATTCCAAACAGAATTTTTAAAGAGGACATGATCGATCTGAACATTTCATGTCATACACGTCATGCGGGTGCGTTCTCTATCCCTGATGGGTTCATATTCAATTTCAACTAGAGGTGTAATTGAGCCAAGCTCGAATAGTAGTCAATTTAAGATTGAGTAGTGATCAATTGAAGGCTCGGTTTAATCGGATGCCATTTTTAAATTCGAATTTAACTTAAAATATAATTGAGTTATTCAAGAAATATATATAATTATCCTGTAAAAACATAATAAGAAATATAATAATAATAGTAACAAATTCCTCAACCAACAGTTGGGGTAAGTAAACTTAACCCCATATCCAAAAAAAACTATAAAAAAAAATTAAACAAAAACCCATCAATATTGTTATTATTTATAAATTTTTATTTGAATTCATTTATAAAATAATATATTTAAGTGTACAAATGATTTTTTTTTAGATTGTAGTTTGGGTCATGTGCATCTCTAATTATGCCCGCCGTACAATTGTAGATCTTTCGTTGTAAAAAGTAATGATTAATGTTTCGATTGCAACATTTAAACACCAAATTGGAATATCTCAGCCTTTACCCATAATCATTCAATTGAACATTCTATACTCGGATCCGATAAAAAATGACCTATTGCGGAATATAGACATGTACTGATAAATATTTTAAGAGCTCGTGCATGGTGGGATTTGAACCATAATTGAATTAAGGGTGAACTGTATATTTAGTCACCTAACTTCCATTTTGATTCTGTTTTGGTCACTCAACTACTTTTTTCTTCAAAATCATCACCAATGTTACGTTTTAATTCCGATTTGGTCACCCTCCATAAAAAATAGAACTGCTGAAGTGATAATTTGTTATATTTTCAATGTTGATATAACATTAAAGTATTGTTGATATAACATTAAAGCATGCTCAGACATCAGCATCACCGTTAATTTTTTAACGTTTTAACGGCTGGTGACCAAAACATAACGTTAGTGATGGTTTTGGATAAAAGACAAAATGAAACTAAAGTGATAGTTAGATGACTAAATATGTAGTTTACCCTTCACCAAATCAATGACTGACACCTGTAGTGCATTTTTTTTTCTTTTGACTTTAAAAAAAATAGTTTTCTGCTTGTCCTGGGAAAAAGGACCCTACTTACCTACCCATTTCTAATTAACAACAAGCTGATTACAGGACAAATGATCCTCATGTTAATATTCTAATGCAAATTATATATATATATATATATATCCCAAAAGCTGCAATTGATTTCCCAGTTCCTTCCTCTTCCAAAAACTTGTTTTTCCACCCATAGCTATTGATTATTTGTTGGTGTATATATATACATATTTTGAATTATAGGCTGATAAGAAGCATGAGCAGTCGTATGGGGTACACCAGGGTTCCAAAGAGATGCCGGGGAAGCAAAGGTTTGAGGCTCAATATTCAGTGCAGGAGATTCTCGGTTCAAGGGCTAAGGGTAAGGTTCATTTATTTGTTCAATCAGATCAGAAGATTCAGATCCTATTTTCGTTTCATCTTTAGGAAAATGGGTATTAATGCAAATGGCCGCTATGTTAACGGCGGCTGGCGTTGCCGGAGGTCTCTAGTTTCGCCCAACGTGGTACCTCTGGCCGACACCTGCAGGTTGAGATCATCATTGGGCCGCTCTAATTCTTTCTATTCCGAGGCCATTTCCGACTGCTTGGAATTCATCAAACGCTGTTCCGTTTCCGACGATGACCGGGAGAAACCTCCACCGGTCAGTTATGTTACTCCGACTCTTCATTCTTCTTAAAGTAATTGTGTTAGACACGTAAATACAGAGATATTATCCATCTCCGAGGTTGAAAATCAGGCAATATCTCACCCTAATACTCGAGTTCAAGTAACATAAACTATCTACATTTGCCAAATATGAATCCAACTCGGGTCAAAGATTAGGTCAGCTTAATTCCCAAGTAATCTCCATGAAGAGATGATATTTGTAATATAAGATTAAATTCCTTTTATTATTTAGCTTTTATTTGATTTAACTGAATTATGTGATTATCAATGTTGGGAAGGGTTAGAATTCAAAGTATGCATTGGCGTGAGTTTGAAGATTGAATTTTGTTTTATCACCTACTCCATTGCCATTTTGTTTGACTAAACATAAAAGCCAAATGGAAAACATCTTTATATTTTTGACATTATACTATTTTTGTCAAATAATTAGCACCTCCCTTCCACGTAATTAATTTTCTTCATTAACAACTAAGATTTGTTGACTTTTACAAGTTTCCAACTATTTCAATCTCATCCACATTATTATTCATTCCAAACTGTATTTCATAAACCATAGGCAGAGTTTCTATTGATGAAATAAAAGATATTGTATTCGATGTGGAGATAGACGTAAACTTTTATATTAAAAAATAAATTTATAATATTTTAGAGGATAATAAAAATAAAAAATTAAATTATACCATAATTTAAATTTTTTAAATATTATTGGATCGATTGAGTCATTGTTTAATTTTTTTTATAGAAGTGATACTTTTATTAAAAATAGAAAATATACAAATTACAATGAAGTTTTACAACCACAATTGTAAACTAAACAATTGCGAGAAAAATCTAACTAAATAATTTTGAACAACAAGTAGATACGAATATATCTGATAGCATTGGCAAATGAAC